TTTGACTACAAAAGTCAAATAAACTCAAAATTTCTTTCATTATGCATTTGTGAAAATTGGGAGGGTACAAAATATATGAGAAACGTCCTTCCTAAAGATGAAAAATGCAAAACAATTTTTATTAAACGTTATGTCATTTTTTTTTTAGTGCTCCGTCTGTAATGTTAAGCTTTGGGGTACAGAAGACCAACATGTTCCGATCTGCAACTCAAGATTCACAACTTATACCTCTGAATGAAATTTAATGAAACATTCATAGAACCTTAATTACATATTTGAATTGTACACCTCCTATTTTAATTTTTGAGAAGACTACGTAATCTTTTAATTTTTTTCCATAGCAAAAAAGAGAATGTTGTTATTTAAATTTTTCCTTTTATCGTTACCACGTGAGATAAAGGCGGCTTCTGTACATGTAACATTAGCCAATTTCTTTGATGTTTTTTCCTCGTTTTTATACGTATATATAGCAAAGCATGGACGTTATGAGAGGCGGGTGTATCATTCAGTGAGCTCATTGCTCACGGTACCTCTATAGTTAAAAATAAAATTTAACATTGTATCACGTCCGTGTGATTGCAACACTACGTTAAAGGTGACGAATGCTTACTTATGTACAGGTATGCTATTTTGTTTCCATGCTTGACTAACCAAAAAGTCAAATACGAGGGTGGATAAAAAGAATATTGTCTTCTTGCATTTGTAAAAATTTCGTTGCTTTTTAAATACAAAATATATGAGAAACGTCCTTCCTAAAGATGAAAAATGCAAAACGATTTTTATTAAACGTGATGTCATTTTTTTTAGTATTTATTTGAATGTCGGTATAATTTTTTTTCGTGCTCCAGGTACTGTGTAATTCAAGATGTTGGGACTTAGACCGCGACAGAAGACCAACATGTTCCGACCTAGTCGGTGAATTGACAAGATTCACAACTCCATCCTCAGATGATAATTATCTGGAACCCTCTTTTACATATGAGCGACCTCAGAATACTTATGTCATGTTGAATAGAGAATAGACTACCTCGACCTTCACTGAGAAAGCTAATCAATAATTGTTGAGAAGCCTATTTAATCTTTTAATTTTTTTCCAATAAGCAATAAAAGAGAATGTTGTTATTTAAACATTTTCATTTTATCGTTACCACGTGTATGTAAAGGACCATTACATGTACATGTAATATTAGCCAAATTCTTTGATGTTTTTATGCTTCTATAATGTTTTTAAACTTTTTATTTCTGAATTAAAACAAGACATTGTTTTCTTTCAATATTTAATTAGGGACCAAATTACACGTATTAGCTTCGCCCATAACTATGTACATTAAATGTTAACTAATCCAGAATTTCGGGATGTTATAGACCATCTCCCTCATCCCTCTAGATCAATGCATGTGGACAAGAAGTAAATAAGAAATGGACTCCTCGAACATTATAAATGAGCCTTCTTGCATTGCTTTCAAGATGTTTTATTGTATGTGTACTTAAAAAAAGCGGGCTTTATATCTTAGCGGCTTCGTCGCAGACAGCGATGCACTAATTCATGAATAAATGAATACGATATTATGTTTTTTTTTATTTACTTGCTTCGATCTGCCATTTTTTCAGGCCTTGAAACTAGCCCAATTTCTATTTCAATTTGCAATATATGCCTATATAAATGTGTGTATATACATGTATATCTCCATTTTAAATGTGTTTTTTTTTTCAAATTCACTTTTGAGCAAAAATTTTAATTTAAAATGGGTTGTCACTTAGAGCATTTACTAGTAGTTCAACTGTGTCGATCCGCATACGCTCTAAAGGTGAACGCTAAAAATGTACATTGCAAGTGCGGTATTAGTTACACGATATTACTCTGACATAATTACACATTATTGATCCTCGTGGAGTAGAAAATCTTAAGTTAATTGTATTTAAGTACATGTACTAGTAAATGGTACACTTACATTTTCCTTCTTTGTTTCCCTGGTGGCATCTTCAAAATATTTTGCAAAACTGACATTTTTTGTTCTGATCGGTGAATGAATCGCATTAAATTTTGCCTGTTTGTAATGTGAGTTAAAGTATTCCGCTACAAAGCATTAACATTTGTATTTAATGGTGATTACTCCCTACTATCTGTATCAAATCGTACGTACATGTATCAGCTTGATCGTGAGCAGTAAGAACACGCAAAACGGAACACAGGTACACATGTATTATCAGAACATAAGACATAACAACGCATCGCAAACAAATAACATGCCTGTCCTGTCCGAGGTCAATAATCAAGATCTAAAAGTCAGATTAGATGCAATTATGTAACGATGCAATTGAGGTTATTTACTTTGCAATACGGTCTGATGTGACGATAATGATCAAAATCTAATTGTGTTAATCGAAGAAAAATATTGACAGTCCAAAATAGATCACACAATCAACACGATCGCCACGAGGGAACACAAGACTAAGTTGCATTTTGATTATATACATGTTACACTACATATTCACCGGTTTGACACCATATTTACTGAAGAGTTAGTGCGCATGAAGAAGCATTGTGACGTCCAAGCAATACCTCAAAACAACGTTGAAAACAATGGTTGCAACAGTCGGAGTAAGCTGCATATTTTAGAAGGAAAATTGGTAAGCAAATTCATTGCAACACAATTAAGATATGTCCAGACATTCCAATGTCATTATTACGGCGAAAGGATTACGCGGATGATATAAAAAGTGACTTGTTGACTTTTTTTCCTAGAAGTAACTTCGTTAATGAAAAGTGAATCGTCAGGCAGGCAGTTAAACAATCAAATGCACTCAAAATATGAAGTACATGTAGTGTTAGTATTTGTTTTTACTTATTTTAAGTAATATGATTACTTAATTTGATTGTTAATAACTAACTATGATTGCGAATTACTAAGGTATACTAAGTACATGTTTGAAAATTTATATTAATTTACTTACAATTCAATATTATAGGTAAATCGATTACTTAAAGTATACTTAAAGTATATTAGAATTCATTTTAAAAAAGTTAATTTCAAATTCTATTGTTGCAAGGAATCAAAATAACTAAAACTGCAACTTAATATTTGTTTGTATTTACTATATATTTTTAATTTTTTTACTTGTAATATCTAAAGTATGTATGTCAAAACTTGTAAATAATTTCCAACAATGTTTTTACTTGAGACGAAATATTCTCCTGCTCCAAATTTCATCATTTTTTTTTCATTCCAAACATTGATTTTTATCGAGAACAATAGCAGTAAGTGAAAGTTTATGTTCGAATATAAGTATAAGATTTGAATATTTGTTTATTAACGAATGATAAACAAATTTTGAAAAAGAACAATTCTAAACTGGACCTGTAGAGTAAGTAAATTAGAGTTTATATTTCAAAAGGCTAGTCAGGTCAACACACCTTCAAAAACTCGCACTGAGCCATATAATTCTTTTAATTGTTAATGTACTGGTATTGTGAAAAATGTTTCAAAAAGTAATCAGACAATAGATATTTCATAAGTTGAAATGTACACTGAAGTAAATACAAATTACTTATGATATAGATGAAGAGACGTTTCTTTTTTATTTTTTATATAATTAGTAGGTTTCTTAAATTCATATAAGACACACTGCATTTTTGTGTGAGTATTTCCTGTTCTTCAGTAGCATTAGTACATATTTCAAGAGAATTTATTGCTCAAAACTTCCTGTTTAGCAATGATATTACATACATACTACATGTAGTTGAGGAACTGGAATGCAAGAAAATATATTCTATTGCTAAAAAAAAACTTCCGGTATTCCAAATATTTTTTTTTTCGTATGTGATCTTGAGATATATATTTGTCACTTGGCCTAAACCCGACTTTCATTGAAGGAAAAGTAGTGAGTATCTTCTGAAAATTCTATGTGTCATTTTTCCTTAAATTTCTAAATACGTTCAGGCACAAAGAAGTTAAACAGTTTTTATTTTTTTTCTAAATTATTATCCATTGTACATGCAGTACATATCAAGCAAATTACTTACTTAGCTTGACCTGTCATCTCCCTAAAATGACACAGTTTGTACACAGTGAGAGGCTGATCAAGTCACATTTTGTACAATGAAAAAATTCTTTTGTGTATGTAGTACATATCAAGCAAATTACTTACTTAGCTTGACCTGTCATCTCCCTAAAATGACACAGTTTGTACACAGTGAGAGGCTGATCAAGTCACATTTTGTACAAAGATAAAATTCTTTTGTTCTCAAATGAAATATTATTTGCATTTGTATAAAAGGCAGTTAACTTAGATGACATGTCTATTTTACTATTTCATTTATATACTGTCTGTATTTCCTCCAGAGAAGTGATTCTGTCGTGTATTTGTATGCAGATTCATTGAAAAAGTAACAGAAGGGCCCTATTAAATATATTAATTGCAAGAGCATACTTTCAAGGTATACACATAAACTCAAGACGCATTAAGATTTTTGAAAAAAAAAGCTGCGAACCTCGTGAAGTCTTGCAAATAAATCCATTATAGCTATATTTAATGTAGCTGACCAGCAAAATATCCAACCTGTCGTGCAACAAATTAAATTTTAACAAGTAAATAAGGGAATCTATATAGGTTTGCAGCACTTTCAAAAAGTACATATAGTGTTAAAAGGAATTTTAAATCAAACTAAGATTTTTAACCTAGCTATGCCCTTTCAATATTGGAATTTATAGACGACCTTAAAACTGCAAGTATAATTGCTAAAATTGTGAGACCCCGACATCACGTGACAAGTCTGAATAAAAAATTAAATGTCCCCAACTTTAAGATTTGAATCACAATAATACATTTTTTTTTACATATCAGTGAAGTCCTAAAAAGAATCGCCCATCGTCGTAAAGTATGTATATTTTATCTTAAAAAAGCGCCGATATTTCCATTTGTAACCTTGACTGTACTGCATAATATGATATCTGTATTGCACTAACAGATTAATCATATGTTTCATTTTTATTTTGAAGAGGTTTTACAAGCGAAAAATAAACCTGAAGAATGAATCAGTGGTTCTTCATTTGTGTAATGTTGACTAGCTCCACTTCCATTAAAATTATCCAATTGTTCACAGCTGAGGACAACGGAAATCTAAGTCATATGGTTCGGAACAATGACAGCTTGTTTGTTGGAGCCACAAACACACTATATCAATTCGACCTTAATCTAGACTTGGAAATCAAGATAATCACTGGACCCCAAAATGACTCAAAGAAATGTGGAATTAACTTAGAGATGTGTTCGTACTTTTCCGAATTGTCACCGATTGACAACCATAATAAAATTTTGTTGCTTCATTCCGATAGGCTTGTGATATGTGGAAGTTTATTCCAAGGGAAATGTGAAATTAGAAATGTGAAGAACATAAGTGAAATTGTTTTCACTGGAAGCACTTCAGTGGCTTCCAATGAAGCAGATGTAAACACCATTGCATTTATTGCTCAAGTTCAGAATAGTGATACACAAAGAATGGAACCAATGATTTATGTGGCAACTGAATTTACAAGGTTTGACAGGTCTAAGGATTTCATAGAATTTAGACGTAGACGATGGCATCCCCCAGTTATCACCCGACTATTCAATTTTTCACTTCGTGGAAAAGTTGCTTATGAATATGAATACAAATATGCGAAACCAGATTTAATATCATATGTTAATGGATTTTCTTCAGGAAATTACAGTTATATTTTATTCAATGAGAAGGATCCAATTGATGGATCTCACAACACTAAAATTGTTCACATGTGTAGGATTGATGACCTATTGAGAACGTTTTTGGAAATACCATTGATTTGCAAATCAAATAGCAAAACATATAAAAGTCTTAAGTCTGCAAAGCTATTCAAACCTGGACTGAGTTTATTGATATCACTGCAGGAACAGTTCCCTGATCTGACGTCAGAAGATGATGTCATTCTCGGACTTTTCAGTCATAGTTTAGACAGCAGTTCAGCTTTATGTATGTTTAGTATACCAAATGTGGAAAAAACAGTTCTAAGCAATGTTAAGACGTGTTTAAATGGAAGCACAGTATATGATGATTATAGAAGAAAATATAGAAATGGATTTCGATGCATAAAAATAGACATGGTAAGGATAAATAAAAAAAAAGAATATTGATACGAGTTGAGATACTATTTGATATAAAAATGAAAAATATTATTTTTTTCAAACCACTGTTTACGTTAAAAATGTTACTACGAGGGTTGATCCAAAATAATGTCACAACTTCGATAAAATTTCTCCTAGTCGACGTAAAATTAACAAATTTCACATGATTGAAGCTATATTTATTTTAAATCTGTCCTGAAAAATTCAAATTAAAATGATTTATACTTTTCAAAATATCGAATTAAACACAAAGTGCTATTATGGTAGTCGCCGCACCTAAATAACGTCATAAAACGGATATGCGCCGTCACAAACTATTAAAAACGCCTTCCCATCGTTTAAAAAAAAAATTGATATACACAAAACATTCACATTTTTTAATTTCTTTAAGAGCAATTGGCACCAATTGTACACTTTATCTATAATTTAACCCTTCATCAAAATTCTTTGAACAATACCATAAGACAAACTTAAAAGTGTCTTATATCACTCAAACTGCCACTAATCTCTTTTACGACAACGTCGACGCCACTGAACGTTTCCACCCGACCTCCTACCTTTCGATATTTTTGTCCCCAAATGATCATTTGTTTACCTATTACCCGCCCAAAATCTCTGAAACCATCTATGAACAAGTCTCGTTAACATTCTTTTCTCTGCGAGTTTGATTTACCATCATAACTGTTTCTACTTGTGATTTCCCGATTTTGAAGGAAAAATACATTACAACTCGTTTCGGTGTTTTTTTTATTCCATTTCAACATTTCCTTTCTGCAATACATCAGATATAAACAATACTGTTTATGATGAAAAAAAAACAATGCTGCCATTTAATTTTTAAGTAAAGATTAGAAAATGTCGTAAATTTTGTCTTTTAAAATATTGGACGATTAGACGATTTTTAGATGCTTTTCTTTATGTGTTTGTCTTTTTTTTCATTCTAACAATATTAACTTAAAAACGTGACGTTTAGTTGTGACGCAGCGACACCCCCTATGTTTAATGTTTTAAACATCTATAAAATGAATCCAATTGAAGATTATTAAATGAAATTTTCAATTTTAATTAGATTAATGTTTATGCATCTTTTGGTGCTTTATATTTGATAATATGACGCCAAATATTAAAGATATGGACACAGTGACATTACTTTTGGATCAACCCTCATATCTATATTCTTTTGTCTTATCTTAATTAAAAAGCATATAAAGATAATTACTGACATTTGTATTGATCGTTTAGTTCTTACACACTTTTTAACAATCCAATGCTTTTTGCACGTGTTTCATAATATATTTTTATAATGTTTGCTTTACACTGTAGGCTTTTTTTACTGATGATGAGTTGGTGTGCTCAAATTACCTTCCTTTGCAAAAAGATTTGAAAACTCCAGAAATTGCTTCCCCAGTCATCGAGTTTCAAGCAGCAGAAAACCATTTTGAAACTTTGGCTATTACTATCACAGGAGACCACACTGTAGCATTTCTTGGAACCTCTAGTGGACATATCAAAAAGGTAGCATATATTGTACATTGAAAAAAACTACAACGATATTGCAATTATACTCATAAAGTTTCATTGCTGTCTTCCTTGAAAGACATTATACTTAGTTTAGGTATTTGATAGACTTTATGCTATTTCTGTTAAAGGTTTCATGCGAAAGTATGGAAAAGTACTTTAATTATAAGACAGTAGGATTCTAGTAGCACTTTTCATTATCCAGATATTCTTATATGATTATATTAATTTTGTAACTAAAATGTTTAATCCCCGTGATATTTTTGAGTAATAAAACCTTATGAAATGAGATGTGATGATAATTAACTAATTCCGAGTTTGGTGAGGGTTGGAGAATTCCTACCGATATAATTTCGACATCCTGATATCATTTTATAATAATTTTGAAGGGATTGGTATTGTACTTCACCCCTTCCTAACATATATTTGATTGAATAATTATAAGGCAACGCTTAACTTTTGTAAAGGAAGGATGTTAATGATTTATTATAGTTTGAAAGAGGAGGTTACAGCCTCGCAACCCTCTCCAATCAGAACCCGCCTCTTTAAATTCGAATACACGAATCTTGCATGGTTATTGATTCTAACACAACGTGTAAAAATTCTTTTTTTCTACTTACAGTTGTAAATTTCCACGTGCAACTTCGAACACTACTAAATTAAATACCCTCTTAGATTCCAAAAAAAAACATCCTTGTTGGTCGTCCCCCTGTCAGTCCCCGACATTTTCCTGTCTCTCCCTGACTTTCTCCTATGATTCTCTGTCGTCGTTCCTACCCACTCTGTCCACTCCCTGTCGTCCCCTGTCGTATTCCATGTCTACACTATCTACTCTATGTCGTCCCCTGACATTCTCTGATCTCCCTTTCCACTCCCTGTTGCCCCCTATCGTTGTCCGTGCCTAGACTGTCTTCCTCTGTCATCCACGGACATTTATGTTGGCTAAGAAAAGGAGGTTTAACTAGATCCCTGTTCCAAATTAAGTGTGAAAATGCTATAGTCTTGAAAACTCTAAAGTATTATTTAATATAAACTTAGTAATATGAATTGTAATAAAACAAAACGGCAAAGACATGCATCGATTGTTAAGAAGAAATAGCATCCCTATTAACTGCATCTTGTGAAACTAGACGGCATACGAATGTACTTTGTAAACCTTTTCTCTATATATTTCATTTTTTTTCATTTAATTATTGATCAGCTTTAAATCATCTTTGAGCGTAATAAATGTTTATGTAAAAGAACTAGAATTAATTTTTTGGGGATTAATTATCAAATATATGCATTGAATATTCATTTTCTAGGGAATTAGATAAAATTACTTAAATGGAAAGAACGACCATATATAAATACATGAATAAAATAAATAAGGAAGTAATAAATAAGAATAAATATATAAATTAAATTATTCATTATACCCGCACTTTCTAAAGAAAGTGTATTGCTGTTACTCATGTCTGTCCTTCCGTCTGTCAACTTTTCTTCTCTAAACTCCTCCTACATTTTACCCAGTAGCCTAATCATCTTTTGGGAGATGGTTGGTGGTGTCAGGTAGATGTGCAGATTTCGAAATTTTCATTTTGGCCGGAGGGGTCAAATTGGGGTCGAAAAATGACGTTTTTTTTAATGCAAAAAGCCTGTCTTACCTGAACTCTTCCTACATTTTAGATAGTAGTCTAATCATCTTTTGGGAGATGGTTGATAGTGTCATGCAGATGTGCAGTAAGATTTTGGAAGCTTGATTTTGCCCTGGGGAATGAATTGAGGGTCGAAAAATGACGTTTTTTATGCAAAAAAGCCCTATGTTCCCTGAACTCCTCCTACATTTTACACAGTAGCCTAATCATCTTTTGGAAGATGGTTTGTGGTGTCATGTAGATGTAAAGTGAAATTCCGGAATTATTATTTTGGCCTGGGGGTGAGGTGTTCAAATTGGGGTCGAAATAAATAACATTTTCATGCAAAAAGCCCCGTGTTGTCTGGAATCCTCCTACATATTACACAGTAGTCTAATCACCTTTAGGTAGATGGTTGAAGGTTTCATGTAGATGTGCAGTAAGGTTTCGGAATTTTGATTTTGTTCCGGGTCAAATGGGGGTTAAAAATGATGTTTTTTATGCAAAAAAGCCCGTCTTTTCTTCACTCCTCATCGTTCACCGTAGCCTAGTGGTAGAGCGTTCGGTTTGTGATCGGGAGGCTTGGGTTCGATTCTCGTTGGCGGTACCGCGTCAAACCTATGACGTAAAGATAGGTAGTGGCTGTTTCTTCGCCAAGCGCTCGGCATTGGAAGTGAAAGTCACGGGTCTTTCTAATATGACCTAAAAACGTAGGTCCTGTGTCACGTTAGGAGCTGGCAAGATAAAGAACCCTCGCTGCTCAATTGCGCTGATTGCCGAGTATAGTTCTAAATTTAAATCCTTTCACCGGCATAGAGTGACGTGTCCATAGAGTGATGTGTCCATATGAACTCCTCTAACATATTACACAGTAGCCCAATTACCTTTAGGGATATGGTTGCATGTTGGTGTCATGTAGATGTGCATTAAGTTTTCGGGATTTTCATTTTGCCCCGGCGGGTCAAGTGGGGGTCGAAAAATTACGTTTTTTTTTATGCAAAAAGCCCCTTCTTCCCTGAATTCTTTCTACATTTTACACAGTAAAAAAAAGGTGGTTAGTGGTGTCATGTAGATGTGTGTAGTAAGGTTTCGGAATTTTGAATTTGTACCGGGGGTCAAATGGAGGTCGAAAAATGATATTTTTTTTATGCAAAAAGCCCGTCTTCCCTGTACTCCTCTTATATTTCATACATTGGCCTAATCATCTTTTGGGAGAGTTCAATCTTTTGAAATTTAGGTAAAACATCAAGGTCTAGGGAAAAATCGATAGTATGTTGGGAAACATCTTCTTTTGGGTAATATACACGTCAAATTGAAAGTCATATCTATTCTCAATCAAAAGTTAAACGGAAATACAACATTTTTGATAAGTAAGTTAACCTTCAAGGTCAAGGTCACAAAGTCAAAAGTCATGATTCATTTGGGAAGGTCTTTTCACAGGTAAAATACATGAATGTATAACATGATAAAATGTCCTTCCTATTCTCTTTCAAGTTAATCAATTTAAAACAATTTATATTTTGTTGAAAGTAGGTCAAACTTCAAGGTCAAGGCCATGGGTATAAAAAGTCATTGTGTATTTAGAATGGTATTGTCACAGGTAAATACTAATACATATGTTTAATGTGAAAGTCCTGTCCCCTCTCATTCAGAATATATGACCATAATGACCAAGGTTTTTATTATGACAGACGGACAGACTGACATACAAATGAGATTTAATGTCCCCAACCTTTTGCAAAAATGGGGGACAATAAATATCCTTGCTGTTCTTGAGAGGAAGATTTATGATGAAAAAAGTCCCCTGAATATGTCTATGTAAATTGGTTGAAATTGGCCCATTGGTCCTAGAGAAAAAGTTGAATTGTGAAAAGTTTGCAGACAAACAGATGGACGATAGACAAATTGTGATTAGGAAACCAAAAACACCAAAAACGTATGATTCACAAGTATTTGGAAAGGGTTACAGTTTCTGAAAAGTGTTTTTTTCCCATGCGGTGCATTTGTTTGAAAAGTTCAAATTGTATGACATGTATCCATGTTGAAAAACCTTTTCATTACAGAAAAAAGTATGATTGAAAATAGTCAAGGTGCTCTGAGTAGCAAAATATCAAAGCTATACTTTTATAGCTAATTCAACCGCATATAGCTTAGTCAATTTTAATATGCACAACCTTTTTAACATTTATAATAATTATTTTTAAAATATTTATACCATCATGTCTGATTCAAGGGAGAATTGGAGATATGACCAGAAGTATAGCTGTTGAATATAAAATATAAACATGTATACTGTGTTTTTTAAGTAATTTGTTTGTTGGGAAAACATCTCTTGGGAATTTTCACTCATAGGGAAAAACCACCACTTTAAAAAAACAAAAACATGATGTGTTTGTGAAACACTGATGCCACTGTATGGCAGCTTTTGCATTGCGAAGGTTGAAGTTTTTCAAATGTAAGTCAATCTCACAAGGTCAAGGTCAAAGATCAAAATTTTTGGTATCAAAAGAAAAGTCTTGTCACAAGGAATACACATGTGAAATAAGAGTGAAATCCCTAATACTTCCTCGCCTGTTCAAAAGTTATATATAAGATTAAAGTGTTTATTTAAAGTGGGTCAAACTCTAGAGTCAAGGTCAAAAATATTTATCTGTTGGAAATTCACAATGAATACACTTGTTAAACATGAAAGCCTCAGACCAACTGTTCAAAACTTAGGGCAAAATTAAAGTTTGGTACTTTTTTTTTTAAAAGTGGGTCAAATTCCAAGGGCAAGAGATCAAGAATTCAAAATCAGAAGTACCCAAATGAAAAGTCTTGTCACAAGGAATTTACTTATGATATGTGGGAGCCATGTGTATAGACCAACTTAGAAGAATCAGACATAATATAAACACGATAAAAAAACAATTAAAATATGGAGAATCAAACGGAAATATTTTTTACTATTTTGGAGTCACAAAATCATTTATGAGACAGGAAGTGGCTAGGGAGATCAGACCCCCCCCCCCTCTGTAATTTCCAAAGTTATTTAAATAGGACCATATACTGAAACAATTAAAAATGACTTTTGACGCACCTCCCCCTTAGAAAACATAAACCCCACCATCATTGTTTTTATTTTGTTTATTTGTTTTTTCTATGCTTCTCAGGAAATTCTTGGCTGGATTTTTTGACGTAGGTGTGAACCCCCTCCCCCCTTCCGAAAAAAAAATCTGGATCTGCGTCTGTAACTAAATGTCACGACGACAACGGAGAGATAACTTCACAATGTGAAATTTGTCCACTGTGGAAGGCGATTATCTTTGACCCTTTTTTGAACTTTAACCTAATCATTTGCATTTCGGTTTATTTTACACTAATCTATACTTAAACTTGTACTTGACGACTGTCATAGGCCCTGTCAACTTCATGAAATATAATCCAATTAAAACACAAGATGATTTCAACTGATGCACAAACCAAACTGCACAATCAGCATGTGCTATTCCATTCGGCAAACCTTGACTGATTCCGTCGCCTTCATCAGATGAAGTACGAATCGGCCAAGGTGTGCCGAGAGTTGTGCTATCTAAAAATGATAAGGGATGACGCCATACCATTTTGATGTAGAAATTTTCAAAAAGGTGTTAACATGCATTAATAGTACAAGAACAAATTTTAATTCATCATAACAAATAATGTTTTAACACAACTTTGCCAGAGAGGCCTATTTCAGAAAATATGTATGTGTGTGAGGGTGTGTGTGTGAGAGAGAGAGAGGGTGTGTGTGAGGGTGTGTGTGTGGGTGGGTGTGTGGGTTGAGGGTGTGTGTGTGTGAGTGTGTGTGTGTGAATAGTTGGGGGTGTTAAAAAATTGATTAATATGTTTGATTTTTAAGGTTGTTTTTTTTTTGGCCTGATCAATGCTAAAAAGAGTTTGCACATTTTGATAAATTCTGCAAAAAACGCTTTGTACTAAAATAAAAAAAAAATATTTGTTATTGAGAAAATAAATTTAAAAAGTTCCAATATTATGAGCAAAACCTTATTTACTTCATTAATTAATTTTTTTTATTTCAGACTGGTACTGAATTAAGTACTGTGGATTCCTCAATATACGCGTGGAATTAGTTATATCGAGAATCACAACACGCGAAATAAAATTACTCGCCCTTATTTTTATGGTGCTGAAATCTATGTTAAATCCCTTTAGTAATTGTTCTTTCGCGAATTATTATTCTCGCGATTTGACGTTAAAGAGTCCATACGCGATTAAAAGTACTCGCGAAAAATAAGGAATTTACAGTATATGAAATGTATATACGAGGCTCAGTGGTCACCTGAGAATGTTATGCTCGATTTGACGAACACATGCGTATGTACTGCGTAAATTATAGAATTATTTTGACCTTTTCCTTGGAAAGCCCAATTTGAAGGATTGTGGATTTAGAGGCAAACACCTTAGTGCGCGTATTTCTGTCTCTTGACAGCATCTAGTTTTATTTAATAATTATATTAATAAAATATATATCCACAAATGAATAAATATAGATAGATAAATAAATAGATCAATAAATGATTAAACAAATAAATAAAAAATAGATAAATAAACAAACAAATAAAATGAATTAATTAATAAATGAATATCAATTTATTAATTTTTGAAATTAAAATACAACAAATAAATCAATAATTCATATCCCCCAAAATTTAATGTTTTTAGTTTTATTTGATATAATCACTTTAATCCTAAAATATGCAACAAAGTATATCAAAAAGACTTTCAATAAATTTACGTCCATGATTGATATCAAAATAAACTTCTCATTGTGCGCACTCTTGATTCATCAATTGCGTTTTTGATACTTTTATTTTGTTTTGTTTTGATTGAAACAGAATCTGTTTTCAAAACCCTAACACGCTTCTAAAACAACTTCAAGTCATTGAAAGTTTACTAGTGTCTCAGGGTACACACTCATGACACATATTGTCTTTTTCATTGACCAATATACCTAGTTTATATTGTGGCAGAGCGACTGTATCCTTTCTGCAGCATTTAGAAATATTTTCTTTTAGTATGAGAACCGATTATTTCAATCAAAACAAAATAAATGTGTCAAAAAATCTTTTGACTGATAAAGATTGTTCATAGTGAATAATGAGGCGATTATTTTGATATCCATCATGGAAGTATTAATAATGAAAAGAGGCTTTAAAATGCTTCAAAAATACTAAAAAAAAAAAACCAAGCACTTTCTCAATCATTTCATGAATTCAACATTTATTCCTCAAACACATTTACAGTCAATGCGTTGAAAAATCCGTAGGTTAACTTAACGAAAGTTCGTACAGAATAAATTACCTATTACAAAAACATATGTTAGAAATTATCAGGTTATTTAATGCTTTTTTTGGCAGGTGGTTCTGAAAACCTCTTGCAAAGCAGAGCTGTATGATTCTCCCATTGTAGTGGACGAGGGTCATACTATAAAGCAGGATATGGTGTTTGATGATTCTCAGATGTATCTTTACGCCATGAGTGACAGAAAAGTAAGAATGGGTTGCTGATTTACTGTAAGTATTACATTAATTATAACTATGGAAAGGGAATTCGGAAATGGAGAACTTTTCCGAAGGAATTTGTATGCTTTGGGAGCCAAAAATATTTTATTTTCAATACTTATGCTTTTTTCTATGGAAGGTGTATCTCTACAATTGAATCCCTCCTCAACAAAATGCATTTTACAATAAAGACATTGTACTTACACCAATAATATTTATTTTTGAAATTATAAAATATTACTGAACAGTAAACTAATTTCAGGTGGCCAAGATTCCAGTTCAGAATTGTTCCAAATTCACAACATGCAGGGTGTGTCTGTTAAGTAATGACCCTTATTGTGGTTGGTGTGTCCTTGGCAACACGTATGTACAAAATATTGGAATAATCTGCTATTTTTGCAAAAAGTTATATTGCATATAGAACTTTTTCTTTTCTTCCCCTTTCAACTTTTGTTTTTGCTCATAGTAAGATTATCTTTAAAAGCGTGAATTGTCTTAATTATTTGTACATGCATGATTATATGCTAAAGATAAACATCTTTTTTCAAATGTATAATTACTATATATTTTCTTGATATCAAAAGTTTCCTTTCTTTCAGGTGTTCATTAAAAATTGAGTGTTACAATCCTACTCCTATTCGATGGTTGTACGCTAACGCTCCAGAGCAAGAAGACAGATGTATCGAAATCCTTAATGCCTCCCCACCAATGTTCCATGTCTCACAAAACATCACCGTAAGAACTGACTTCTATATTGAATCTCAAATTTACTGTTTGCATAAAGTATATATGTGTTTTATTCTGTTTTGTGTTAACGTATCATTAGATAGTTTTTCCCTATAACTGATGTTTTGTAATTGTATGCTTTTTCACTAGTAAGTTAAGTCGCCCAATGGAATCCAGACTCCGCCGGAAGGATCTTATTTTAGACATTAAACGTCCTTTTCATCTGTTTCTCAGTGTTGCTTTTTGAACTGCCGCATAAGAAGTCCATGCTACTTTTAATGTGTTTATGTAGATTTTTATATTATGGTACTGATTATTTTTTATCATCACTTTGTTTTTCAATGATTTGTTTCACCTCATAATGATTTCTTCAAAAAGATTCAACATGGTGCTATGCTTTTATACTGGAAATCATCTTATTTTTTCAATAAGCACATTTTTGTAAAAAGTTGGAAAAAAGAACTTATGAGAGTATTTTCTTTTTCCAAAATTAATAATGTACTCATTGTTACTGGTTTGCTTTTTAAGACATTTTTCAATCCTCTTAAAGAGGGAGTAAGTAAATGCTTAAGAGGAAATTCTCTCTAATTTTTACGACACTTTATAATACTAGTTTGTAATGACCATTTAATGACAGAAACAATTGTCTACATCAAACACGAGAATAATAACTGCAAACACATTTTAATAGATTAAATTTACTAGCTCTATAAATAAGTTTGTTTTACTTTTTTTTAGTTAAATCTAACAATCAAAGATTTGCCTCGAGATGACAATATCTCCTACAACTGTGTGTTTAGCCTTCCTAACGGAGATCAGATATTATCCCCCGCTGTTCAGTGGAGCTTTGGTATTGAGTGTAGAAACCCTAATGTTGAAAATCTAACACTGGACTTTTACAGCAGCCTTGGTAAGAACATAATCTAATATATAACACCATAAATATTAGAAATAAAGAACAAATCACCGTTAATCCACAAAAATGTCAATGAACAGGTCCCAATTCACCATTTCTTTTTTCGAGATTAAACATATTTACATGTTTTGGTGAATTTAATTATATTGTTAGAGAAAACTAAATATTGGTACTTACATGTATTTTAATACAAGTAGAATAATCTGTTAATTTCATTTCGGCAGGACATATCAGCATAAGCCTGGGTGTTTTATCTATTGAGACAGAACAGTTGATTGTGTCAACACCTTATCTTATCTACAACTGCAGTAGTTTCACAAAGTAAATGAAAAAACAGGAATATTTAAAATTTGAAAATGATTATCAAAATCTTAAAAATAGCAAATAATGTTGTTCGTTCAATTTAAGCAAAAGAATAATTAGAGACTTTGACTTTAATTTTTCTCAGTTGTACTAGATGTGTGGACAACGTGTATTGGTGCGTCTGGTGTTTAACTGAAAACAAGTGTCAGTACAAGACAGATCAGTGTTCTGGGGAGAAAGTAAAAAGTCGAAAAGCAAGTATTAATTTTACTAATATACGTTCATCACATGCATACGGAGTTTATATATATATGTATATCAGTTGATTTGATACGCAAGAGCAAGCTCTACGTTTAAACAATTTCTGAAAAGATATAAATTATGACATCCAAATTGATAAAACATGAATATAAGCAGTCTCGTTAAAGTCATCAATTTGTAAGTTATATTGTCGACCTTGTCAGCAAATCGATTCATCATTGAGTCAAATGCTGACTTACATTTTTCATACTAATTGTTACTCCAATTGCTACTCCATAATTTATACACTGAATTGACGACAGATTTTCCGTTAATTCCCGATCATGACGAGGAGCGCACAGCGGTGTGGCCGCTCAGCAGGGGATGCTCACTCCTCCATGGCACTTATCCTACCTCCGATGTTTTGGAAGTCCGTGTTTGCTCTGCTCCTATTTTGTATTGTTTAATGGACTTTTAGTCTTGAATACTGTTCGTTATCTCAATATGTTTCATCTCCAGTAATTGTTTGTCAATGTTTCTTCAGACAATTAAAGTGCTGGCTATATGTAAGTACTGCATTAATTGCGATTAAAAATGAATATTCTTTTCTGGTCAATCCTTGGAAGTGCAAAAGGTCACACTGAAAATTTTTATAAAATTGTCAAACAAGAACATGATTTTTTTACATTGCAAATAAAAGATAAATTTACCTTCTTTCAGGATACTTATCAAAAAACTTACGCAAAATGTATAGAGGGGTAATTTTCACTACAGCTATATTTATTTGTTTCTCTCCTTTCAGTTGTTTCTTCTATAGTATCATTCATCACTTTTCCCCCTTTCATTCACTCTTTTAACAAAAAGATTGCAAGGATCACTGAAACTTAAAGTATATAAGTGGTCTATTGGTTAATCGGTCACCTATAGCTAAAACGCACGCAAAGTTCAATTTTGACACTACTAGTATTTTCCCGATGTTTTGCATTTGTTTATTTCTTCATGTTTCCTAATCTCCTAATTTGACCTTTTTTAAAGATTTAATTTAATTATATGTCTGCTTTGGTTACCGGCAGTAGTATAAGAACCACAACTCCCATTCAAAACAACATTTGCATTTAACCCATTAAAAGCTTGGACAGTTTATCTCTCTTAGTAACCAAGCCTGATCGATGATATTGTAATTTCACTATTTTAAATCCATATACAGCACAACTCTTCCTCTATCCTATTTTATAAATTGAAAAAGCAGATAAACTGATTTTGATTTAAAAATGGCTCGGGGATTTTTGATTTATACAATATGTGTGTATAATTATAAGTAAATACATGTGTATAGACTAAACTCACCTCAATCATTGTAGCAAACACAGTGCATTTGTGTTGTTCCCTCTCACACAACAGTGTTCAAAATTTTCTTCCGTTATAACTAAAAAAATATTTATTATGATGAATGCCATAAGATATAAGATACACGTTTGTTACATTTATTCAATGGTTTTAAGGCTTATGAAAGCAAAGGAGGAAAATCTTTTTGTCCAGCGGTGGATACAATTCAGACAGGTCCATTATTGATAGAACAGGGGCAATATAAAACAATCGTCATACAAGGAAATAATTTCCCAGAACCAGTAAGTTCTTAAAATCATATATTTTTAACATAGAATTTTTTTTTCTTAAGGACGAATGATACAAACAAAAAATGGTTGCCTGGATTGGTATATATTTTTTTACCTAATTTCATTGCACATTATGTAAATAATAAATTTATAGAATATAAAGAAGTTGTAAACCTTCTATGATGTTCAAAATTCTACCCTTCTGAAACCATCCTCATCATTCTATACAAATATTTTCGCTTCGAATTCCATGTTTGTGCAACTTGGAATAAAAAATTAAAAACTACATGGTGAAACTTTTTTTTTTCAGTTTATTTATTTAAACATGAACCAAGTTGTTATTTTCAAAATTTTGGACAAAAGTTTGTTTGTATCATCTGTCCTTAATGATTATTGGACAGTGCTCCAAGTTCAAGGCTAAAAAAAGCAATTACTGTAGATGTATTATATTTAGCGTGTATGATATTTGACGGAAATTGATTTCTAAACACGTATGCCTGATTTGGCGCATTTCTTAATGTTCTTACTTATGAATATATGTGCAAGAAATTTCAGCTTTGAACTCGATTTCGCTGAAAGTTTCTTACCGCGAAAGGCGCCAAAATGAATACACAGCTAAATGTAATACATTTACAGTATATTACAATGGCATCTGTTTCCTTTTCTTTTATAACAAATTTATTTCTAGTTCTACAGAACGTTTTTTCACGAGTACTGTGTGAATAGGAGACTTGCTAAATGCTGATATGTACTTTTTGTATATCCCGGAATGTCTAAATCAGGCCTCCGCGAGAATAGTTTCTCTAATTATAATACATTATAATACATTCCAATACTTAATTGCCTTTAAATATAGACTGTGTATTTTCGTAGGACGAATATAGAGGTCATCTAAAGTTACCAAAAAGGACACTGAAAGTAAAAGGCAGAAGAAAATCAAGTACTCAGTTATTTTTTCACATCGGTAAGGTAGGTTTCATATAGGAAGTGCATTATCAAAAGTGGTGGGTGCTGTATGTTATTTTGGTTTATAATTCAGCTTCGAAAGTGAAAACGTGAAGAACAATAAAAGATGAATAATATTTTAAAAATTAAACAATATGCAACCTTAAAGAAAGCTTAAACATAGGTTAAAAAAAATTCCACTGATGGGCTTAGGTGCTTAGTAGTAATATAAACACTAGATATATACACTAAATATAGGTATAGAGTGTTAATATATACACTAGATATATATTTTTTAAAAAGCAGTAAGTATCAAATTTAAAATGTATTTTATGCAATCCTTCTTTATATATACACTCCTTTTGTCATTTGTCATTTCAGATTAAAGACGTTTTACCCAAAGGCTCATATAAGGCAATCATGAAAGTTCTGTGGACAGAACAAGAATTTAACATTGAAACTAGTCATTTAACAGGTACCTGTACATATTTAGAATTTTTTTTTTAAAAAACCAAAAACAATGATTTTCTAAATGTCGACATTTTTTAATGACGACTAAGGTACATGTTCTTTACTTATTTGTTTTACTCAAACACTGTACTTTTCCATGTAAGTCTCTTTTCAACATAAAATAAAATCCTATGCCGACCGGTCACAACCGCCGTTTGTTCCTTGTCACTATATATCGGGAAATAACGGGAAAATCCGTCGTCAATTCAGTGTAAAAATAATAGACTAACGATCAATATGAAAAATGTAAGCCATCATCTGATCCAACAATAAATTGTATTTGTTGACAAGATCTTTGTATCGACCTTAGAACGTACGAAATGATGACTTTAAACGAGACCCCGTATCCAGGTGATGAGGGAAATACATGTAAGACCACCTTTAATTGCTTCACTATTGTTGAATATGTCTACTGCTTCAGCTCTGCTTTAACGAACATTTCAATACATATTTCAGTGACTTTGTACAGCTGTCCTGATCAAGCCCTAGGAGACTGTACCTTCTGTAAGAATCTGGCGCTCAGTAATCCTGCAATGAACTGTAAATGGTGCAGTGATCAATGTGTCTACCGTCTAAACAACTGTTCAGAATCAATATATCCAGTACCAATTGTAAACAATGTAAGAAATTAAGCTTTTTTTATTCTGATTACAAGAATTAAGAAATTTAAACCCTCGAAAAATATTACAAGCCTTTCTCTTGATCATAAAAGCGTGTCATGTCTTTAGTGCTATATCATATTTTAAAGTCAGGGTCAAGTTGTCATGTTCTTGAGGTGATATGTTTTGGTTATAAAAAGAAATAACGTTAACTGTCTTTGCTTCCATTGAGTTACCATGCAAAATTATTATTTGAACAATATGTGATTTAATAATATGCATTAGACAGATTCATCCAACGGATGGTTCGATTGATGGTGGTACCCACATAACAATCATCGGGACACATATTGGGATGTCAAGAGAACAAATTGATAATATCACTGTGGCTGGTGTTTTATGCTCAGACATTTCTGTATCGGATCGCATGTAAGTTGTACGAATCTGTTTTCGATCGATTCGGTTCTAAAATGCTGTCATTCTTTAAATTTGTACGTTTTAAGAATGTATTGAATTCAATTTGACTTAATGAATGAAAGGTTAAGATATATGCATAACCATTTGTTTAATGATGTAGTGTACATTGTGTTACGGGACCAAGCATTGTTTCTTCTGGACCAATAATTCTAAGTGTCAACGGACAGCTTGGAGTCAGTTCAGCAAAGTTTATTTATAAGGTACATGTAACAATAAAGTATTATATTACATTTCAGTTCACATTTCACTGCATTTTCATACAAACGTTTTATTGCTTCAAAACTGCATAATGCGATAAAGTTAATTACGCTCAGTCTTCGTAAACATATTGGAGAACTAATATCTTTACATAACCCTATATTTTATGTCCTTCGTAAAATAGTTTATATCATTTGATGTTGATAATATTTTGATAGGATCCACAACTATTAGGTCTGTCTCCTGCTGAAGTCTTACAATCTGTGGGAAGATCCATCACCTTAACAGGAAGAAATTTATTAATAGGAAATAGGAACCTTCGAATCGAAATAAAAGATGATTTTTCCAACACTAAACTATGTTCTGTGTATGTTTCTACAAATGATACTTAAAACATATATGAATAAATCATCATATACGTTGTGAATTAAAATTGTTAAAAATACTCTTCATACTTTGACAACTTTTAGGAAAATGAAGGTTTCATCTGACGAGGCAATAAGATGTGTTCCGGAGCCCGGTAACAGAACAGGACCCCATATAATAAAGGTTTTGTTTGATAATACATCAGTTAGGACATTACAGAACATGAGTTTGACTTACCTGTCTGATCCTGTAGTGCAGAGAACAGAACCGTCAGAGTTAAAGAGTATTTACAGGTATATAATTGTGAGTTATCACTACATTTTACTTAGTGTAATGATATACAATGTGAAACTATGCCTAAATTATTTCAGAAGAATTGTGTTAAAAGAGTATAGGTATTTTGTTTTTAGATTTTCTTTGCTTAACCCTCGGTTCATGACTTGAATACTCTATAATGTATACACTATTTTTCATTTGGTAATTGGTCTTGCATATCATATTTACTGAGTAATTGGCCTTCATGTGATATTACATTTAGTAATTTTTCTTTCATGTTATATTACATTTCGTAATTGGTCTTCTGTGTAATAATACTTTTAGTTATGGTCTTTCATGTAATATTACTTTTAGTAATTTGTCTTTCATGTAATATTACATTTAGTAACTGGTCTTACATGTGATACTACATTTAATATTTCCATTTCTAATTTTCTTTCTCTGTGATAACTCTTTGAAAGTTAGCAGAGTTGAATTCTTGATAAATCTACCGGAATGTAAATTAGGCTGATCGATAGGTCAGCAGCTAAGGAGGCCTGATAAGCCTGCAAATCCCGTGTTATTTGTCTCTGTGGCTGACCCTTAAGAGGTCAAATATGCACGTAAATCTCGTGCAGCTGACTTTTAGTTTGACGTCAGTGGTCGAAGACTATAGAAATTGGCATGGGAGTCCTTGTGTAATTAAAATTTATGTCTTCATTTTTAGAAATCTACAATTTTTTTTCACAGTGAAATGAAAATATAAGGATTCACAGTCTAGATAGTATGGCATGCTGGTGACATCAACGATGGTGGGAAACATAGGATAATTGATGCAAAACGGGCTTTGCCCGTTGTGCAAATTATCCCATGTTTCCTACTATAGTGGACAAACCTGCAATTTGGGTAAAATTTACATGACTAAAAATCATAAGAGTAACGATTTGATGTTGAACTTTCATTTTTCTTAGCTACTGTAATGTTGGACTGTTTATGATGGGAGTAGAAATTTTGTGTGGGGGATATCGGCTTTTCTTGCATGGTATAGTTGTTGGTTACATGGATTAACCAGAGTTCGGAGTTTATGATGCCCCAATTAGAGTGTGGGTCAGACACATCGCGCAGCCTAAATTTCTTCATCTTAGGTGAACCAACTGTTCCCAGATTTATCAGCGGCCATTCTTATATCCCTTATATATTTCAAAAATTATTGGTCACTTGTTCTATCTGTATTTTTCCAACATAATACTTGTGAAGATGAGGAAGGCTAACTTCCATTTGTCAATTGACAAAAAGGTGCGGGGTTTATGCTTAACAAGGCAAATTGTGTCATTGCGTATTTGTATTTGGTCTTGTGTGACTAAGTGGGCTAACATTTCCCGCGCCGATTTTAATAATATTGATAGATCAACAAATTTTCCCTCTCAAATCTTTTGTTTAATTTTAAGGGACACAAGGGCACTGATAGGATCTTTACAACTGAGGGTCTGGGCCGGTTAGTAATCTGAAATGCTTAATGGAGGCCAACAAATTCATCATTGTTTGTGTTCTGCGATAAAGCATTTACGGTGGGGAAGCTTCAAATATTTGACTCAACCGAGGTGTTGCTCAACACCCGAGGTGTTGGCCCTCCGAGAGTCCTGCTGTATCAGGCGTGGGAAACGCCACCATTACTGTGGCTGGTTGTGTAGGTGTGGTGGTCCTGGTCGGGTTTCCCCTTTGCCGTGTTATGGTCCGATTAGCATGGTTAGGTCGCCTCCCTCGCCCTCTGCCTGGCAACACAAAGTTCCGATTACGCTCCTTTCTGGAGCGTGTAGTGGCTTTCTCAGGGGCGGTATTTCTAGTCGGTTGAGATGTGAAGATTGATTCTCTTTCTTCGGATATTTTCTGTAATAATTTGTTATGTCGATTTTGTTTTCTGCATTCTCTTACTGTGTGGCGGAAGAAGTAAAATAAACTAATTAACTCGTACCAAGATGGCTTTTTTTATTTTAACCAATTCGTTCCATTGTTATTTCTAACAATATTATAATGTGCTTCCGCAATTAAATGAGATTAATTTGGTACAAAGGCAAATTAATCTGCCTAAAATGCATTATTGGTACTATGATCTGAATTATTTAATTTTTTTTTAAATTCTTTTAAATTTTATTTAAATGTTTTTTAGATGATAATTATTTGGCCGAGGAAAAACGCAATGTTTTTCAAATTGTTATTTTTATTATAGATCTTGCTGAAAATGTAATCTAAAACATTCAAGTAACTATTTATTTAAAAGAATAAAGCTCATGCAAACGTTTGTTTTTAATTACAAGAAGGATATGGAGATAACGAACAGTATTCAGTCTCAAAGTCCATAAAAGAATACAAAATAGGAGCAGAGCAAACACGGACCCCCGAAACATCAGAGGTGGGATCAGGTGCCATGGAGGAGTGAGCATCCCCTGCCGACCGGTCACACCCGCCTTGTGCTCCTTGTCATGATCAGGAAATAACGGAAAAAATTCGTCGTCAATTCAGTATATAAATAATGGACTAACAATTGGTATGAAAAAGGTCAGTCAGCATTTGACTCAGTGATCAATTGTATTTGCTGACAAGGTTATTGTATCGACCATAGAACCTACAAAATGATGACTTTAAACGAAATTTCTGATATTCTTGTTTCACCAACTTGCTTGTCAATAATTGACCTCGTTTTAGAAATTGTTCATACGTACAGCATGCTCTTGCGTATCGAATCAGCTGAGATATATATACTCCGTATGCAGAAGGATATGGAGTTAACGAACAATATTCAATCTCAACGTCCATTAAACAATATACAAAATGTGATGAAGGTAATATTGCTGCATAAGTAAGGGAAGTTGACATTATCATTATATTTTTTTTTCTTTCATTCTCTTGAGTGGAGGGTTAAGCTTTGCAGTTATCGGTAGCGGCTTTGTAGAAGTTATTGATGAGTTGACAGTACACTTTTCTGATCACAAAGGAAAGGTAAGGATATGTTATTACTCGTTGATTTCTTAGAATGACGGAATGATATTAGGATTTTTGGCCAATCTTTTTAAAAAAGCTAATGTGAGCTTCGCTGATCAGGAAAAATTCCTATGTTTGTCTCTCTATAGCTATCTCTCCTTTTTCTTTCGTCAAAATTATTTTTTTCACACTTACTGGACGTGTTTATTGCTTTAAATTTATATTTTTTTTTCTTTGTAGGACAAGAATTTGTGTTTGAGAATAAATATGAATCGTCTCACATGTAAATTCCCCCATTTTCCAAGATGGCTGCCAGATAATAGCTCTAGTATTGAAACACTCCAACTTTCCTTGGACGGTTTTTCAACCACTTTGCAGCCATATGTGCTGTATGTTAACGATCCTATCTTCTTTTCCTTCAATGGATACCGATCTTATAGTTTCGATCCTGCCTCAGAAGGAAACCAAATTACTATCACGGTAAGACCTTTTGAAATATTATCTTTTAATCTTTTAAGAAAATACTTGACAGAGAATACATGCAAATTTCATTTCTGATTATTCGTCAATGTCCTTTTGATTTTGAAAAAAAAAAACAGAATTAAACAGAAACTTAATTATTTATTTTTTATGCATGGTGTGATTTTCTTAAATGTACCAATCTAATGGTTTTAGGTTACAGGTTATGATAAGTTTTGAAAACTTAGACATATAATTGTAGGAAGGATAATTTTTTATGCATGGTGTAATTTTCTTAAATGTACCAATCTAATAGTGCTTTGCCTAAGTTTTGAAAACTTAGACATATAATTATAGGAAGGATAATATATCTGTGATATATAATTATGCAAATCTAAATAAATTTAATTTAAAATCACATTTTATATTTTCTTTAAAATTTTGATTCATGATTCTTTAATGCATTAATTTAAAAAAAAAAATTCCTTGTAATCTTAAAATGAAATGTTAATCTTTATTTCTCCTATTTTCAATATTTAAAATAAATATTGCTTTTCCATCTTCCCCCCCCCCCAAAATTCATGATTTTTATCATTTGATTTCCTTTTTAAAAACAAAGAAAAACAATGAAATATAGTTCAAGAATTTTAGTACTATCAAAATATGCTATTAATAATTTGGTTTTTTCCCTAGGGTGAAAATTTAGATGCTGTTGCAACTAAAGATGATTATTATATTCGAGTTGGGTCAGGGGCATGCATACTAACAGATCTGCAGAGTTCTAGTCTCACGTGTACACCTCCCTATATAGAGCCAGCACCGCTATCAACTGAGGAGAAATTGTTTATAAGAGTAGGTTGCTAGATACTGAAATCTGTATCACCTAACTGTTGTTTTAGAATGTCCACACTCACATAACTTAATTCATAAATCCTTAAAGCTGGACAGCAGGATTCGTAAAAGGAATATGTCCGCCATATTAGATCGGACTCTAACTATATCGGGGGAAACCTTAATAAAGCGGCTGACTTGGTAAATGTTCATTGTAACTGGTCCTCAATTGTGTAGACGAATGTATGCTATTTAGCACTTGATAGCAACAAAAAATAATTCTATGTTTTTTTATGCAGGAAAAAGTAAGATATATAAGAAACTCACAATAGTTGCACTTACAGGTCAGCTCTGTTTACAAACACACACAAGTAGAATTAACTGCAATAAAATTTAGCAAAAGGTTAGCATTTAGATGCAACGAATGCAAAGAGTATACGCTTGTGCTTATAAATCGCAGATAGAAATATCGAAAATGGTTTATGACTACATATATTAAGCACTTTGTAGTAGTGTAAAATCGTGACTTTGTTTGAACTTTCTAAATCATCCATGCTAAAGCGTCTGTATATGTAATTCTAATTAGATTCAGATGCCCCATTGTTTCTCTTTTGTACTGTATCATTAGGTTGAAGTAGGATTCCTCTCCATAGTTGTTGGTGATTTGATTTATCCGTCGTCCACATGGTACATTATTATAACTGTAAGCATCACTGTTGTGTTTGTCGGTGTTGTAACAATTGCCGTTCTTAGATGGAGGAAACTTAAGTCCAGGAAGACAAAAGAAGCTCAAAATTATGTTCAAAATGCGCAAGGTACTGGTATATGATTTAATGTTTAGGCATGCGAATTTTTGTCTACAAATGTTATTGATTACAGAATTGGTAGTTTCGAATCTATTGTTCACACCAGTGCGCTGTGTTTTTAGCATATGTTTTTGAGTCATGTAGTAAATCTTTAGTCCTTACGGCATGGTTCCAAGACAAAATTAACATCGCAAATTTTCATAAAGAATGAGTTTTCAATAAAATACATATTATAATGATACAATTATGACCCACTTATGGCCATACACTATAGTTTCAGGATACGAAATGCTGGGAATAAATCGAGATAAAACTGATAAACATGGAATTGATGAAAGTATAGTGGACCTCCTGAAAAGTAAAGGTTTGCTTATCTCTCCCGATGACATCAAAATCGGAGATTGTGTTGGAAAAGGTACATATGAAGGAAATAGTAAAAGCAAGTATTAATTTTTCGTTTTTTTAAGAAAAAAATATATATTCTGATTTTTTTTATTATTCTTGTATTATTTAGGGAACTTTGGGATCGTCTATGATGGAACATGGACCAAAACAGTGGAAAATAATGAAGTTAAAGTGGCAATCAAGTCCTTACACCGTATGTAAGACTCCCACTTTTCCTTCGTACATACTTTTCTTTTTTATCAAGCTATTATTTCCCTTGGATATCCTCCCTTTATGTTATGATAATTGTACTTCAATAATTTTAGGTATTCCTAATATTTCCTTCTTCACTAAACTCATGCCACATAATGTACTACTCTCTTATCTTCATTTACTTAGATATTTAATAAAACTGTCATTTAAATTTTCATTCCTGTCAATCGTATGCCTCGACGAGTAATGTATACAGGGGAGTTTTCATCCGTAGGAAGTAGACACAATGCAAACGGGACAATTCAATGAATACAGCAATATCTCTTGAAAAACAAATTTGTCTTGACAATTTTACAACGGGATATTTTTTTTGAAATTGTGAAAAGGCAATCATTAAACGGATTAGTATAACCATGTTAACATTATATCTTCTCCAGGTTACAGGTACCTGAGTAAACTCAGGTGGCCTATTGCTATCCGTTTTCGTCCGTCGTCGTGCGTCGTCCGTTAACAATTAAACATTTTTAACTTCTTCTCTGCCACCACACAACCAATTTCAACCAAATTTAAAACAAAGCATCTTTGGGTAAAGGGAAAAAAATAGAATTGGTCCCTGCCCCTCTGGGGCCTGAGGGATGGGACAAAAATCACTAAAATTATTGAAATTTTTTTTTTTAAATTCTTCTTTACTCCTGGACATCAAGCAGTCAAACTGTTTGCATAATTGTAATTAGCATTGAGTCCTCTACCAAAATTGTGAAATTTATGGCCCCAGGGTCAGGGGTTCTCGTTTTAGGGCGGGGCTTAATATATTATAAAGTGAAAATGCATAATTTCTTTTCAAATCTTCTCTGCTCCAGGGCATTAAGTAAACTTACCAAGTACATAGTTATGTTGAATAAGGCTGCATCTACCAAAATTGTGAAATTCATGGCCCCTGGGTCAAGGGTTCTAGTGCTATTGATTATATAGTGATATTGCATAAATTCTTTGAAAATCTTTTTCTCTGCTCCTGGGTGTTAGATAAACTAATTAAGTACATAGTTATGTTGTATAAGGCTGCCACTTCAAAATTTGTGAATTTCATGGCCCCAGGGTAAGGGGTTCTTGTTTTAGAGCTGAGGTCTATTGGGTATATAGTGAAAATACATTAATTCTTTACAAATCTTCTATACTACTGAGCATGAAATAAACTAACCAAGTACATACTTATGTTGTCATATTTGTGTTGTATTTTTTTTTTATCCTGTGCTTCTGATACTTACATTTGTATTCGCAATCCTTCATTTTTTAGATAAACACCCTAGTTCTCCCTTTTTTTGTCATCCTTCTTCAAATGTTTGTTTATACTACAACTACTACTATAGGTCCTTTACATCGCGTTCAATGAATATTTCCTCTTTCAACATATATACTATTCCTTCTACTTAGATAAGGAATCACAAGATATAGACGTCAATGAGTTTGTAAATGAAGCTTTACAAATGGCTGATTTCCACCATCCAAATGTGATGACGTTAATTGGAATTTGCCTTTCAAGTGAAATGCCACTAGTGATTTTGCCATTTATGGGTCATGGAGATATGTTAACATATATCAGAGATAAAAACAATGTAAGATGTTTCATATTTGTAGAGCATTATAAAGTTTGTATGAACATTTACATTATGTAACCAAATCATACAAAACAAATTGTATCGGAATAAAAATTAAAACATAAGCAAAATCTACCAACTGAACGCGAATCCGATGGAGAACGAAGCGTATTGTAAATCTGATGCATATGGTTCTTTTTTACCAGGTGATGACACTTTTGAACATTTTACAATTTGGCGCTGATATTGCCAGGGGTATGGAATACCTGACTTTACAAAGAGTAGTGCATCGTGACTTAGCTGCAAGAAATTGCATGTGAGTTGTACATGTACTTGAAAATGTTAGAAGTGGTCTCATTTTTGTAACCATTGAGTTTAATTGCATCAATCTTATTGACTTTTTTGAAGGCTTGGTGATGACAAAACTGTAGTAGTAGCAGACTTTGGGCTGTCACGTGATATTTATGAGAAAAATTACTACTGTATAAGTAATAAGAACTGTAAGTTGCCGGTGAAATGGATGGCTCCTGAAAGTCTCGAGAAAGGACTCTTCACATCCCAGTCAGACGTGGTAATACATGTAATTTACTAGTATTCTCGTACTTTATATTTCAAATTAGCCTGTCAGGTTTTACTTTCCTTCACTATCTATATTAAATAATATTTTCATTCAGTGGGCTTTTGGTGTGGTGCTTTGGGAACTGGTAACAAGGGGAAATAAGCCATACCCGGAAGTAGACGGATGGGACATGCTCAGATTTTTAAAAATGAACAGGAAGTTGCCACAGCCTCAGTATTGTCCAGATGTGTTGTAAGCATTCATTAAAAATACAATCATAAACGAAGCCGACTGTGTTAACTCACAAAATATGATTGTTTTTTCATAATCACTTCCCATAATTGGTGTTTTATGAAAAAAAACTATATTTTAGATATTTTTTCTTTATCACTTAATGGTTTGATGATCCATGTCGTTATTTACAATTGTTGAGGAAAGATAATCCAAAGTGGATGCCTTGATTGCAATTGCATCATCTCGGGTCTTTCCCTCAGGGGTCGGAAAGGCAAACTCGAATGTTATTTTATACATTTCCTATTGATTCAAATTAAGAATATACGGAGTTAGAAGTCCCTTCTATAATACATTTTAAGATATATATTAACATTCTATGTTAAACACCATACTCCACAGATAAGAGGTATTCAAACATTTATTTTATAGGTTGTGAAAAGCGTCTGCGTAAAACATTCGAAAGTTGTTTTTCCGCTTGTGGGAAAGGCCCAAGAAGTTGCGATTGGCATTGATTTATATATTTTTCTACCTTGATTTTGCTTTTGCTAAATATATTGCATTACAAAACTGGTAGAAGAATTTTTCAGTTTCCATGATGTTCAAAATTCTTCTTTTAGTTCTTTTGCAGTGTGTCTCTAAAATTTTTATCACTTGTTTTCCAATGGATACATTATTTCATGCTATGTCTCTTTTATGATTAAGTCTTATCAGCACGGTTAAACTTTTCATTTTACCTGTATACTCATGTAAACATTTTATGATTTCGGAAGCATTGTTTGTTTAGAACCATCTGTCCTCAAGCTAGAGTGTTTTTTTTTTAAAAAAGAGAATGGAAATCTGTTTACTACCGAAGAAGGTTTTATATAAACATTCAGTTTTTAAACTGTGTTGAATATTTAGAAAAAAATATAAAAGGACTTGTTTCATTTTATAGGATTAATTTAAATGTCGGTACAATAAGTTTTGTCTGTGTTTCAGATACTCTGTTATGTCAAGATGTTGGGATCTAGACCCCGACAGAAGACCAACATTTTCCGACCTCGTCAGTGAACTGACCAGATTAACAACTCCATCCTCCGATGATAATTATCTGGAACCTACCTTTACTTATGAGCGACTTCAGAATACCTATGTAAATGTTGAACTAGGGATAGACTACCTCGATCTGCACTGAAAAATTTAATTTACTATTGTTAAGAACAATGTCATTGATCTTTTAACCTTCTTGAATCAGGGAAAAAAGTAAAGTGTTGTTATTTAAATGCTTTCATTTTGTCATTACAATGTAACCATAACATGTACACGTTATGTTACCCATTTTTTTTTATGTTTTTCACTTTTTATTATTTTTGCAATGTTTAAAGAAAAAAGAAAACATTTTCTTTTAATATTCAACTAGGAATCAATAAAGAATTGGGGACCTTCAAAAAGAAGGAATTTACATTCAATTTCTAATTATTCATTAAAAATATTGCAAACACATGCAAGTATACTCAAACTCAAATTAATCATTTGCGTTTGTGGACGTGTTCCGCTTTGTAATTATTTAGCTGCGGTTAACATATGAACAAAAATGTATGTTTTCTTTACTTTGCAATAAAATGTATTATATTAGAATGATATAAAAATATACGAAGAAGGTACGTATTGTAGCTTTTAAATTATTTTAAAATCATAATCACAATTATCACAAATAAAAACACATCCCTATTCTAGAGGTACTGTGAACACTGAGCTCACGAAAAAACAACCCGCCTCCAATATGATTATAATGGCATGGTCTCAATGGCTTGCTCAAGGAGACCCAAAACAAGTGTCATCATGTAAAATAGAATTTCTGAAACTATCATCAAAGTATATCCGTCAGTATAGGAAAAGCTGTAGATAAGAGACGTGTATCCTCCAATATCATAGAAAGAAGGGCATTGTCCATGTTTTGCTATAAGAAACCTGAAATACTGAAAGGAGGGGTTCATTCTACCTATTCCCACTTTTTTTGAAAATCATGTAGAAAAAGGTAAGATTTTATGTGGGAATAGGTAGAATTTTGTGTAAACAAATAATTAACTAAAATTAATTATATTAGGTATTAAGTTGCTTTTTCTTGTAATATCCTTTTTTTCTTTCAAAAATCCTAAATAAATTATATTTTGTCATATAGATGTACTCATTATTTTCTGTCTTAAAATATACAAAATACAGGTAAATCTAAATATCTATTCTTATTTGCAAGTGGGAATAGGTGGAATTGAGATTTTTAAAAAGTGGGAATAGCTAGAAGACACAATAGGAGGTGCAGAATTGCAAAATGTACATGTAACACGTAATATGTGCAAGTCTCATTAAATACCATTGATTTGAAGAAAATGAAGTGCAGGGGGATAGGGTACTCAATAGCGTAACAGTCAGAGAGACAGATGGACATACAGCTAGGCGGACGGAAATCCTGATCACTATATACTCTCCAACTTTACAAGCGGGATGGGGTTATAATATCTAAATTATTCTTCAATCTAAACTGTCTTTTCGTTATGAAAAAAATTCTTCAGTTCGCTAAATTCCATCATTTCTGAAATGACGTGATTACTTCCCACTTTAATTAAGCAACATTATTTTCAACATACTCAGACAGTAATCTTTTGAACTTCCTCCTAGGGCACAGTGATTTCACTAATTTGAAAATTACACCTGTTATGCCTTGTTTTACTAATTTGCACCACACCATATACATGTACTCATTAATTACATTAAATGTTTTGGATAATCAATAAAACCGCAGTATTGTAGGCCATATTTTCCCGCAAAAAATATAAAATGATGTTTGTAGTACAATTAATACATCCGTATGCAAATTATCCCATGTTTCCGACTATCGTTGATGAACGGGCATACTATACTAACTAGACAGTGATTCCTGAAAGGTGCATGGACATAGGTTTGAAGTTAATATTTTCTGTATAATATTACGACTTGTATATTTTAATAGCATTTCACACAAAAAAAATATATTTTAAAATCTTATTTCATCTAAAGTTATTAAAACTCCAAATTTTTAAACGGGTTTGATTCACACATCCGTGCACTTTTACAAATTTTACTTTTATTCTTTAAATAACTGAAACATTAGTTCATCATTGGAGTCCCGTTTTCGGGATTGATTTTCATTTCTCCGCTTGGACTGACGTGATTACATTCACCTGAACATGTACCTTGTGCGATTACCTGCACTTGTCGTCTATGTGAACTATGTGGCTGACCAGATCAGATACATCTTCACGCGGGCTGTAAAATTTATCATTTTCAGTTTAAAACGTACGACTTTGACATGATTATCCTCCTCTAGTTATCTTTTTGCTCCATGAAAAAGTTGTTTTCTACTATCTTCTATTATTGATGTGAATTGCTCCCGTGGCGTATACCGTTCGTTTTTTTTAGCATATATCCTTGTTTCTTTACCAGGACACTTTCCTTTGTGAATGAATCGTACTACATGTTGGTAATTCTCCCTTTGATAGGCTAACCGAACAGATGTACGTCTGCAATCTGAATGTAATGCCCAAATCCTAACTCACACTCTTAGAAGCCTCGTAGCTGGGCTTCGGTACCTTCATAGCTTGTTTCTTTCCTAGAACCATAAACACAAAATTGCTTTTCAAAGATCTCCATTGTAGATCATCGACTTTATAACATAACTCGTAACGGTCCCACCCTATGATCTCTAGATTTCTGCTCATGAGTTCGATCGTTACCTTTAGTCGCTTTATTTATTTGGCCAGGGTTTTCGACATCTACAGTTTCTCTTGTCTTCCTGACCTCTACAATCTGCTGAGAAGTTCAGGAGTTAAAAATTCTAATCCCTGAAATTATCAAGATAGCTGAAATGATTATTTTAACGAAACGTCACATGTACAGTTCGGGAAACTTTTGTGCACATAAATCAGCATCAGTGCAAGAAATTAAGCGTCGGCATCCAGCATCAGGGTTGCAGCATTGATATCAGCATCAAAAAGTAAAAATGAAATCCTGTATACAGAGAAAATTTCGCCCCGGTTTTATTTTCTTCCCTTTCGTCCTCTTCTTGATTGGGTGAAATTAAAACGGGGCGAATTCAAATAACAACAGCATAATTTCTTAAACAGAACTCTGTCTGGGCGAATTTAAAACAGGAAAAAATGTTCGCAAGTGCAAAAGGGCGAAAATAACATGGCGCAAAAATAATCTTGTATACAGTAAGCAATTATAGCATTGACCTCGTCGAAACAAGCTTTGCCCTACTAGCATCAGAAAATCGGTGATTTTTACAACTTTAAATTGCAAACGAATTAAGATAACTGGTTACATTATTAACAAATAACATCGAATGGAATATTTTTTTGTTCATTGTGTGTTGTTTTACGTACCATTCTAGAATTTCTCACTCATGTAGAGAGGAAGTCACAATTTTACGGTGAAAGACTTCAAAGTTTAACCTTTACTCAGCATTCAGGGTCATCGAGCAGTGAGGGATCTTATATCGTTCTAAAGCCTCAGTGACATGGGACCTCTGTTTTGTGGTCTCATCCGACAGATCCGCAACTTTCACTTCAAGTGCCGAGCAGATGTCTATTTTTTATCGACTTGTGTCAGTCGCTGCAAAGATTCGAAGTTATGACCTCCCGATCGTGGAGCGTGCGCTATACCGACTGAGCTAACGTAATCGGTGTTATGAAATATAGTGATAAAAGGTTTACAAAGCGTTTAACTGCCATGCTGAAATCATTTATCTACTTCACTTACTATGATTCTACTTCCAGTAACTTTTAACTTATTATAATACAGCAATGGTAGCATCATATATACTGTAAAAAATATAATATTAGAATAAAATATCAGAAAACCAAGCACATTATAAAAACAAAGCATCCATACTGCAACAAGATTAGTTCCCTGCACTTTATCTGGAGATGGTAATACACTCATACACTCTAAAAAAAATTTCAGAGGTAGTATGACACGGCCAGGAGAAGGATGTTGAGATAACGAACAGTATTCAATCTCAAAGTCCATAAAACAATACAAAATATGAGCAGAACAAACGTGGACCTCCAAATCATAAGAGGCGGGATCAGGTGCAATGGAGGAGTGAGCATCCCCCGCTGACCTGTCACACCCGCCGCATGCTCCTTGTCAAAATCAGGAAATAACGGGAAAATCCGTCGTCAATTCCGTGTATAAATAATGGACTAACGATTAGTATGAAAAACGCCAGTCAGCATTTGGCTCAATGATTAATTGTATTTGTTGACAAGGTCATTGTATCAGTCATAGAACTTACGAAATGATGACTTGAAACGAGACTGCTGATATTCTTTTTTCATCATCTTGCTTGTCAAAAATTTACCTCGTTCTAGAAATTGTTCATACGTAGAGGATGCTCTTGCGTATCGAATAAAATGAGATATATATACTCCGTACTCAGGTGGTAAAGTTATATTGCTGCATGAAATTGATTGATTGATTGTATATTGTTTAACGTCCCCCTCGAGAATTTTTCATTCAAATGGCGACGTCATCGTATGTCGGTTAAGGGCTTCAAATTTTCACTCAGGACCCTTGAGCAGTGAGGGATCTTTATCGTGCCAACGCCTACCGCTGACACGGGGCCTCGGTTTTTTAGGTCTCATTCGAAAGACCCGCAACTTTCACTTCAAAGTGCCGAGCGCATGGTGAAGGAACAATTTCTTCCCGTTTTTTTTTAAAAACTTAGGTCAATTGCGGCCGAGATTCGAACACATGACCTCACGATCACGGAGCAAGCGCTCTACCGACTGAGCTACCGTGAACGGTTTGTTGCATGAGTAAGGAAAGTTGACAATAGAAAAGTTAAAGTCATCACGTTTATCATATTACTTGGTTGTTAGATTACCATAAACGTTTTTTTTTTCAAGTAAAATATCCAAGTATGAAACAGATGTGTTAGAGAAGTAAGCATTCCCTATCATCAGGTCACATCCACGATAAGCCCATTTTATCGAATGCTTCAAAATCCGTCATTGTAAAATTTAATATACATGTAAACTTAAAGGCGTAACAATTTGTATAAAATGTGTTACTTTTTAAAAATCATACGTTGCATTATAAATGGTATTTACTAGCAAAATCACTATAAAGACCGCAGATCCTTTTACTAAATACAAAATACCTGCTTCAACAAAATTTTAAACATTTCCTGTTAAAATGTTTGGACTTGATGAATAAAGCAACTTGTAAGGAAGAAATATAGTTTGTCTCTAAAATATTGATAAAGGAAATAGGCATCAAGTATTTTGGACAAAACATAATTTGCATTCTTATGGCCTATGAAATCGTAGCAAGTTGTAAAGCAATAATATCTTATTTGCAATGTTGAAAATATTAGGCAAATTCTAAAAAGGAAAAAGGACATGTACATGTAAGTAGTAATTCATTTCTTAATATTTCCTTTTTATAATAATCTAGAAGAAGGAAATGGCATCGCTATAGTGATTATAGTCAATCCTATATAAACAGTGTATAAAGAACTCCGATAGTTTTTTTTCTTTTTACAGGCAATTTCAAACCTATAAGTCGCTTTTTTGCCGATGTGTGTGTTTCATAGTGTTTGTTTATGTTTATATAAATTACATAACCTCTTAAGAGACCACAGTTTAGGAAATGATTTCACTTCATACATGCAAACTTCCTGATAGTTGTAACAAAATGATATCACAAGTAATTTTGAAGTGTTTTCTTTTCTTAAAACCGACTTAACTCAGCATTAAATAGGTAAGTGTTTTATTGAAGAGATACAACATATTTCTATTTTTCATTTTTAATAATTTACAAATAAATGAATCATTTTAAACTGTGATATTCAAAGAAATATTAAACTTTGCTTAATTGATTGTATCAGAACAGTCTTATATGAATGCATGAATCTGCAGTTGTCAATGTCTTAATCATCATTTTTTTCTTATGAACCACTTGTCGAAACGTCCTGTCAACGTCTGAAGGGAAATATGAAATGTCCATATTAACAAATATTATTATTATCTATCTGTCAGCCAGCCGGCCTGCAGTGTGCAAATTACATACACAAAACGAAGATGGGATGATGAGTCTTTCTTTAGAGCTTGTTATTCACAACCAAATTAGAAAAGGCAAAATCATTATTTGTTTCGGAACACAATATGTTTAACAATGTCTTGTTTCTTGAGGTTCAAATTTCATTTTACTTACAGTTCGACTGGTCAGAAAAGAGCCTAATGCGATAGTATACACTTATCCATTGGGTGTGAGTGGGATATCTCTTTTATCAAAACCGCGACAGAGAACTATTCTCCGAGAGCTTGCCCGAGGGGAATAGATCCTGTCAAGGGTTTGATAAAAGAGCTCTCCCACTCACAACCAGTGGATAAGCGTTTTATTATACTGATGTATAATTAGAAAATTAAATGAATATTACTTGTAAGATGAAATTTGATTATAATTTTACCAAATCAACATAGTACTGAGGGATCAAATGAGATTGCTTCGAGGTCACGTGATGGTCAGTATTCAGAGATCCTTGGAAGTATTGGTGTAATTTTAATAACAATATCCATTTTCACTATAGATTTAGATGATTTCCAGCATCCCATATACAAAGGGTGGGTATGGGATGGGCATTTGATCCCTCAGTACTATGTTGATTTGGTAAAATTATAATCAAATTTCATCTTACAAGTAATATTCATTTAATTTTCTAATTTTACCAAATCAACAGTACTGAGGGAACCAATGAGATTTTAGAGACAATACTTCAAAGGATTCAAAATGTATTATATATATTAAAAACAAATGCAAACAGTTCACTTTTATTTTCGACTAGTTGAATATAACATAAACATGCATTTAACATCATGATAATGTATTGACATTTTAAACAAAAGCAACACAATTAGATTTCAAGACTTTGAATAATTTTCCAAAATAGTATTTCCTACACTCACTTTTTCCTCACTACATGGCTTATTATAAAACTTTCGAAATGTACAATCTGATTTCCAACCGGCTACATTCAAAATGGTCGTAATTGGTACATTTGCAGATTTTGCAGCACTCATTGATGCTGTTCTTGTGCTGTGAGCCTTAAACATTTTTACATTAATACCAGAATTTCCTAACACAGTCCTTATCCAGTTGCTAATTGTCTGTTTGGAAACCTTTTGATGAGGTGCCATGGTGCTAAGGAACAGCTGTGTTTCTTCGCCACGCAAAGATTTTGTACGTCCTAAGTATTCTTGTAAGGTTTTCACAACACATAAGCATTCGTCTTGTTTGAATCGCACAAGTTCAATAGGTTGTAAATGACTGCCAGGTTTGGATTGTTTCAACAAGTCTCCGAAATGAATTTTTACAACATCATTGTATATCAAAATATTTCTAATATCTATCAGATGTAAAGACTGACATCTTTGTCCTGTCAATAAAGCAATCAACATAGCTAGCTTCCAACTCAAAAGTCTAAGACTAATAGTATTTACAGGAATAAGAGTTTTCAAATATTCTAAAACTAAAGAAACATCCCATGTACATGCATATCTAGGCAATGATGGTCTTTTGTTAAATATGCCTCTCATAAATCTCTTAATCAAACTATTGCTACCAAGACTAGTTTCCGGATTAATAATTTCAAACACTGAAGAAATTCATGACTTTGCTGTGTTCACAGCACTATAACCTAATCCACTGTTGTACAATTGTAATAAGAACTCTAAAACATTATTTACAGATGCTTGAAATGGATTAGTTGATTTTCGCTCACAAAATAGCATCCATTTATGGAAATACGTCCAATATTGTTGTTGTGTGGATTGTCTCCAGGATGATAGCAAAATGTCTGCAATGTCCTCCGATATATTTTGCTGTCTGGGGCTCTCCCTGATATTTTGCACACAAAAAGTCGCATTTTTGATAAGGGGTGCTTCTCGGTTGGTGACATGGGAAGAGTTAATAGATGATGTCGCTTGGGTATTAGAATAGGTGGTTCCATCAGTAATTGGAGTAATTTTGTGAACCAATGCTGAGTTGTCCAAAGAGGTGCCACCAGAACTGCTTTGCATCTGTCTGTCTCTTTCTTTTGAATGACTCTCCCCAACAAGCTAAAAGGAGGAAACATATAGTATAGTTTATCATATGTCCATGCAAAGCTAAAAGCATCTACAGCAATTGCCGTGGGGTCTGGTAAAAATGACACATATGTAGTCAACTGTGTATTAATTCTGGAAGCAAATAAATCAATGTCAGGGGCTCCAAGCTGTTCACAAATATTTTGAAATACAGTCTTGTCTAACATCCATTCCATATCCTTAGATAAGTTTCTTGAGAGTTTGTCTGCTTCATAATATTTCTTACCAGGAAGATGACAAGCAGTTAACCAAATATTTCGACGTTTACACCAAAGCCAAATTTCTCGTGCCAAGTTGTGTAATGTCGGAGTTTTACCTCCCATATTTTGCAAGTAGGACACAGCTACTGTATTGTCCATGCACAGTTTTATATGACAGTCTTTCATGATAGAGCAAAAACTTTTTAAGGTCAAGAACCCAGCCAATAGTTCCAAATAATTGATGTGATTTTGTTGTTCTGTGTAAGACCAGTGTCCCCCTGTTCTTTTTGAAGAGTCACCTTGTAGTAGTCCCCCCCATCCTGAGCCTGAACTATCGCTCTCTAACACCACATGTGGTTCGGGTCTATTGATAGTGTAGAAACTTGTGTGGAGATTGTTAATCCACCATGATAAGATGTCTCGCGCTGATTCTGATACTTTAATAACTGAATCGTAATCAACTTTAGCACATTTTAATGCTTGTTCTTTTTCATGTTCTAAGTCTTTCAAATATAGTGGTGCGAACTGGACACCTGGCTGACATGCAACCAATTTTTCTATGATTTGTGAGAAGTCTCTGATAGAAATTTCAACTTTATTAAGTACTTTTTTGCACAGTAGAACAATTTTGTCCGCTTTTTCATAAGTTACTGACACAGTCATTTTTTCTGAATTCAATAAAAATCCCAAAAATTCTATTTTCTTAGTTGGAACAAATATTGACTTCTCTGGATGAATTGTTAGTCCTAAATTATCCATAAGTGTTACTGTGTCTAACACATTCTTTTTACAAGAATAATAAGAATCACCCTGTAGCAAGCAGCCATCAATGTAGCACGCTATTGAATGACCCAATTTCCTGAGCTGTGAAAGAACTGGTTTCAAAAGTTTTGTGAACACTCTTGGAGATGTAGATAATCCCATGGGTAGACAGGTAAATTGAAATAATTGGTCTTTCCACATAAATCGAAGATATTTTCTGTCTGCCCTTGTTACTGGGACTGAATAATAGGCGTCTTTTAGGTCAATGGAAGCAAACCAACAGTCTTGTTTCATTAGGTTTATAGCTGATTTTAATGTGTCCATCTTGAAATGGATGTGTTCTACTTCTGAATTAAATTTTTTCAAATTCAAAATGAGTCTGATTGAACCATCTTTTTTCTCACGAGGAAAGATTGTTGATATATATTGATCACAATAAAAATCATTCCCTTTTTCAATTATGTTTTTATCTAAGAATTTAGAAATTTCCCTATCTAGACCTTCTTCCTCAGCCGTAAAAAATTTTATGTTCCTTGGAACCAATTCTTGTAAGGGTTCATTTGCAAGTTCAATTTCATAACCTGATACAACATTTAGAGTCCAAGGATCAGAGGTGATCTCTGACCATTTATTTCTAAATGAAGAAATTTTACCCCCTGTAAAATTGTCAGGGTTATTTTTTAGTCTCATGTTCCTTGTATCAGTACTTACAGTTGTAGGGTATTGTTCTAGTCTTTTTTGTTCTGTTGAGTTTTTTAGAACTGGCGCTTCTCTAAAAAAGAGCTCTTGTTGGTGTTGTTCCTGTTATTCATCGTATGTCGTCCATAAGATGGAGACTTAAAGCTGTTCTGCCTGTTTTGTGTGTACCGATTCTTAATGTTTGAATAAATTGGGGAGTATCGCTGAGACTGATAGTGTTTGTCTGTGATTTTCCTGCTGACTTTTTTGGCATCAGTGATTTCTTTGATTTGTTTCTCTAGTTCATCCCCAAACAAATAATCTGTGACAGGGATTTCTGCTGCACATAATGCCTTGTATTCATTCGACAGCTCAGGTCTGAGTGATAATCTTCTTCGTTGTGACATCTCCGAGAATCCCAGTTGTAAGAGTTTGAAGGTGTCATTGCACATAGTAAAACAGTCTGTTACATCTGTTTGTGTGAGTCCTTGTTTCCCAGTCTGTGCTTTCAGAAGTTTGTCCATTAAATGTATCAATGGATAAAAGGTTTTACACATAGTACTTTGTATGTGTTGTAGTTTTAAGTCTTGGTCCCGTGCTTTCCTCGGTAGGCTTGACCAGATGCCCTTGTTGATTCTAGGGACTGTTATTTTCTCACAGTTTTTTGGTTTCATGTGTTTTGCCAATAAGTCTTTCTTTTTGGTTTCTCCAATGCGTGTCCTCATGCTATCATTAACAATTTTTGCAAGTCTGTCTTCTATTTTGCCTGAACAGTTTTCTTCCTGCTTATAAAACAGTTCCATAGAAGAAAGCAAGTCATCTGAATCCTTTTCGTCTATCATATCGTCCGCGGTTGCGGCTGGATCAGCTATTTTGTCCAAGTCGTTCGTCCAATCTTCGTCCTGTTCTTCATCCGAATTTCCTCGCGACTCTTCAGATAATGCGATTGAGTATGACTTGTCTTCATCTTCTTCCGTTGGCCTAGTTATGGTTGCCGATGGCTGGTTTATTCTAGGCACATGGCTCATTGTAAACACCATTTGCTGCATTAACTCAGTCTGTTTCATGAGAAAACTCTCCAAAGCCGATGGCATGATTTCTCCAGCTGCATTGTTTTTGTTTTTGCCGGAAGTCATTTTTTGACATTCCGATCCCGATTCAGAAGCATGGGTGCTGGATCGGGATTCTATTATGTAATCTCCCACGTTCGGTTCGCAATCAGCTATGTGAATGCTCCTGTCCCCCGCAGATCCAAAATTGGTTTTCGACTGCGTCTTTGTCCCAAAATTGGGCTCAGTGTTTTCAGAACTCTCAAACCCAGAATTGGGTGCATGTGATGAAGCAGTGCCTGGCCCACAATGGGGCTCAACAATGGCAGCATCAACCTCCCGCCTCGCGGATCGTGGCATTCTGTATTTACAGAAAAATTATACCTCTCTAGGAAAATGTTCTTAGTAGTTCTGGAACTATTCCACAAGTTTTAACGCATTTGAATGCCAAGCAAACAAAGTCAAATGACTTTAAATATTAATATATTCCAAAGAGATGAAGATGCACGTCTTTGTAAACAAAGAAACCTCAAAGCACTGACCATCACGTGACCTCGAAGCAATCTCATTGGTTCCCTCAGTACTGTTGATTTGGTAAAATATAATTTCTGAGTTTTGAATTTTTTTGGAGTAAGATAATTCTGCAAGAATAATCTGAAATCCTGATGACGTCACAATGCTACTGAAGTCATTATGACATCATCAGTTTAAAGATTTTTCGCTGGAAATTGAAATTGGCGGCAACAATTGTATGAAAATTTTCCGAGGGTGGATAGCAAAAACTATACCCCAGGGTATAGCTTTGTTTTGCGTGGACTATAAAAGATTGTTATTTTACCTTCTGAACTTTATATATGAAACATTTTAACAGAAGTATAATAATGTTTGTTATCTCATTTGTTTCAAAACATTACGCCTTCTACAGTTTTGAGTAGATTTCAGTATGATTTTGCACATAAGTAGATTAAATTTTAATTCAGTGTATTGGATCTTGACTCAGATAAACAATATTGCCTTGTTTCATGAAAATAGAAATTTCTGTTTTATAGTTTTATAACTCTACTCCTTCTACAGATTGATCAATTTTATATAACGTGTCATACAAGTAGACCACTCTGAGAAACAATATTCCTGTAATATGGTTTTTTTCTTTTTAATTTTCATTCATGATTTTGCCATTTTTACTTAAAGTAGAAATTTCTTTGAAATTCATTCAAAATGCTACTCCAAGTAGTCTACTGAAAATAACATTGTCCATATTGTATTTTTTTTTTGCTTCTGATGAACGGTGTTACCACACTACAGTTTTGGTATGATAACAATAAATTTTGACACAATAAGAAACTAGAATTATACAGATCATTATTTTATTTATTGTTTCTGAAAAGTATCATGTCTTCTTTTGTTTTACTTAATATTAATTTTTCAAAAGGCATTAATAGTTTAACGCTTTTATTTCATTTAAATTACAACAAACAGAACAAAATTCATCTGAAGCATGATCAGGTGGTTCCTCGTCTGTGTAATGTTGAGTGGCTACAGTTCTATCAATATTAAGCAACTGATCACAGAGGATGACACGGGAAGTCTTAGTAACGTGGTTGTTACCAATCAAAGTTTGATTATTGGAGCTACAAATGTCATATACCAAATGGACCTTGATCTAAATTTAAAGATTAAAATCATCACAGGTCCTCAGAACGACTCACAGAAATGTGGAATTTATTTGGACAGCTGTGCTACCTTGCTTGAACCCATGGATAACCACAATAAAATTCTGTTGCTTCATTCCAATCAGATTGTAATCTGTGGAAGTATTTTCCAGGGAAAATGTGAAATTAGAAATGTCGAAAATATCAGTGAGGTTGTTTTTATTGGAAATACTCCTGTGGTTTCCAATGAAATTGATGTAAAAACAATTGCATTCATCACACAAGTTATGAATAGTGCTACAAAAGGAACGGAACCAATGATTTATGTAGCAACCGAATATACAAGATTTGACAAGTCCCGAAATTTATTGGAATTTAATCTTAGACGATACCATCCTCTTGTTAGCACTCGACTTTTTGATTTTTCGCTGCGTGGAAAAATTGCCTATGAAACTGAAAACAAATATATGAAACCCGGATTGATATCATATGTAAAGGGATTCGCTTCCGGAAACTACAGCTATATTGCTTTGAATGAGAGGAATCCAGATGATACAACACATCACTCTAAAATTGCTCATATGTGTAAGAGGGATGACCTATTAAAAACTTTTTTGGAAATACCATTAACTTGCAAATCAAATATGAAGACTTTCAACTTTCTGAAGGCTGCAAAGATATTTAAACCCGCCCTGATATTATTGAAATCCTTGCAGGAACAGTTCCCCGACCTGATGTCAGAAGATGATGTCATAATCGGACTTTTCGGTCAAAGTGTAGAAAACAGTTCAGCTATATGTCTGTTCATTATGCCAGAGGTGACAAAGAAAGTCTTAACCAATATAAAGACATGTCTAAACGGAAGCACAGACTATGCAGCCAATCTAAAATACAAAAGTGGATCAAAATGCACAAGAGTAGACTTGGTGAGGATGATATGGATCATTTTTGTTCAGATTTTTGATAATATTTTATATCTGTGTTTGACTGGTTTAAATGCACAAAAATAGATCAGATACATATAACGACCATAGAAATAATTTTTATTAAGAGTTGTGGTAATATTTGATGTCATTTGTTGATTGGTTCTCTTTGTTTACACCTGGCCAATTCAAATTTAATTCTCTAAAGTTCACTTTGAATATTGATATTCAAAATCATTTCTACTGAGATAAATGTGCATAAAAGACACTAGCCCTGTTTTTTTTTCTTTAAAAGACACCAGTACTTTCTCTCTCGTTACAACGCGAGCTGTTACATGTAATCTGAAACTACTGATTGGTTTACGAATCTTAATTATCAGGTTTTAGTAATTGACATCAAAGTATTGCAATGGATCATGACAACTACTGCATTCTATTATTCTTTGCTTCAAAGAGATGGTATCATCAGTTACGTTGGACTTTCAATAGATTATATATAGACAACCATTAACACATCATTTTCTCCTGAGAAAAAATGAAGATAACGAACACAGTAGAATGTCATAATATGGATCATGGGTCTAGAAACAGTATTAATCATCTGCTGTTGAATGGTCAAACCCTACCTACGCCCGAATTTTCTGGAAGGCGAAACATTTCAGCCAAAATACAATGCAATTTGAGGTTAGTGTTGTTGAAAAAATCATGATATAGATCACATGATTTGAAAATACTGAATGTAAACAAGGTTTTTGAATTGCTTGTAACAAAGGATTATCTATCATTAGCTTGTTTCGGTTTACAAGAAATAAAAAGAAAGAAAGGTTAACATACTTTTGAAAATCGAATAAGTTGTGGAACGTAAAAGCATAAAAGGAGTGATGAGCTGAAGCCATCTCTTTGTGCAAAAAATGTAATTGTGTTTTAGATTTCATTGTGTTTAGTCAGTAAAACATAGATATAAAACGAATTTGGCAGATTCTGTACATGTAGTGTCTTATATTTAAAGCTGCTTGTTTTAAATTGTAGACTTCATTTACTGATAAGGAGTTGCTGTGCTCTAATACCCTCAATCTGATAGTGGATGGGAAAACTCCAGTAGTTTCTGCGCCGGTCATCCAGTTTCCAGCAACAGAAGACAACCCGGAATCTTTGGCTGTCACTATCACAGGAGAACACACTGTAGCTTTCCTTGGTACCTCCAATGGGCATATTAAAAAGGTAACATACATTTGCTAAGTAAACCGAACGACTTAACATTTTTCAGGATGTTTCGAGTTTGAAAATATAGATAAAAATTACTAGTCTTGCTTGCACTAGAGAAGACTGATTTTTTTTTTCGACGGCAACTATTGATGTTAAGTCTTTTTTTATATATATTTTTTCACTACTGTAACTAAAAAGCACTGAGAATCCAACAAAAACCCGAGGAAGTACTGAGTGGTACTGAGAAAACCCTGAGTTGTACTGAGCCCGGTACTGAGTAACTGAGGAAGTCCTGAGTAGCACTGAGGTTTTTACTGTGTACACTGAGGACATACTGAGAGGTACTGAGGTTGACTCTGTTGGTACTCTGGAGGTACTGAGGGATACTGAGGTGGTTCTGAGGCTTTGAGCTGATACTGAATAGCCCTGAGTTTTAATACTGTTGCTACTGAGGTAATCCTGAGTGACACTGAGGCTATTTTTCTCAAAGATTATTATTTTATCATGAGACTTATTGTAATCTAATGTTCAAATTTCTTTATTTATAAACTTTCTTCAAATCAAAATGAGTTGGTACAAGTATCGTCAACAATAAAACTGAAATTGTGTTTGCTTCTTGTTCATTTAATTAATTAAATTTTTTGCTTAATTTCTTTTGAACTGTTACAAGGATATTTAATTAAGTCTTCTAAACAATTTTTTTTATGAATTATATCTTATTTATTTTTTTCATATCAACCAATTAGTTAAATATTAATTATTTAGGAAATTTAGTTTTTCAAAATTCATCCAACCAATGTTAAACATCATGATAAATAGTAGTTCCTGTCTAATAGTTCTTGATCCACATCTGAAAATTTAATAAGTTACATTTCTGCTGTGCTAATACAAAATCTTTAATGTCATAAGGGTAATGGTAATGCTTTGGACATATTCTACTGCATGGCACATATAAAAATTTTGATGAGCAGGTCGCAATCACAATGACAGAAAAAAGTTTCAGCAAGTCTCAAAAACCTTTTGTTTGAAAATTGTTCGTTCCTGATGATCAAAATTATGAATATAAATCAAAACAATTGTCTAAATATTGATATTAAATGAATAAAGAAATAATTCAAACAAAGACATTTTTCAATGGTATTTAATTAATTGAAGCAGAGATAGAGAAGAAATATGGTGATGTGTCACAGATTAAATTTACAACTTGTTAATTAGAAATAAATTTACTGTCAAATAAAATAATATTGAAAAGATATGTATTTTGAGTGACTTTACCATTCATTGCGTATTTATAATGCTATTAATATCATCAATATTTATGCTGTTGCTGCGGCATCTTAAAAAGAAAATATTTAGAATTTCAAAATCTTATCTCGTTAGCTCACCTGAGCCGAAGGTTCAAGTGAGCCTTTCTGATCAAAATTTGTCCGTTGTCTGTCGTCGTTGTCGTCGTCGTCGGCGTAAACTTTTCACATTTTCATCTTCTTCTCAAGAACCACTGGGCCAATTTCAACCAAACTTGCCACAAAGTATCCTTAGGTGAAGGGAATTTAAGTTTGTTAAAATGAAGGGCCACGCCCGCTTCCAAGGGGAGATAATTATGAATTAGTGAAAAATAAATGGCATTTTTAAAAAATCTTCTTCTCAAGAACCACTGGGCCAAGAGAGATGAAACTCATGTGGAATCATCCTCAGGTAGTGTAAATTCAAATTTGTTCAAATCATGACCCCCGGGGCTAGGGTGGGGCCAAAATGGCCGACCCAAGTTTTACAAAGGAATATATAGGAAAAATCTTTAAAAATCTTCTTCTCAAGAACCACTGGACCAAGAAAGATGAAACTCATGTGGAATCATCCTCAAGTAGTGTAGATTCAAGTTTGTTCAAATCATGACCCCCGGGGCTAGGGTGGGGCCAAAATGGCCGACCCAAGTTTTACATAGGAATATATAGGAAAAATCTTTAAAAATCTTCTTCTCAAGAACCTCTGGACCAAGAGAGATGAAACTTAAGTGGAATCATCCTCAAGTAGTGTAGATTGAAGTTTGTTCAAATCATGACCCCCGGGGCTAGGGTGGGGCCAAAATGGCTGACCCAAGTTTTACATAGGAATATATAGGAAAAATCTTTAAAAATCTTCTTCTCAAGAACCACTGGGCCAGGAAAGATGAAACTCATGTGGAATCATCCTCAAGTAGTGTAGATTCAAGTTTGTTCAAATCATGACCCCCGGGGCTAGGGTGGGGCCAAAATGGCTGACCCAAGTTTTACATAGGAATATATAGGAAAAATCTTTAAAAATCTTCTTCTCAAGAACCACTGGGCCAGGAAAGATGAAACTCATGTGGAATCATCCTCAAATAGTGTAGATTCAATTTTGTTCAAATCATGACCCCCGGGGCTAGGGTGGGGCCAAAACGGCCGACCCAAGTTTTACAAAGGGATATATAGGGAAACCTTTTAAAATCTTCTTTTCAAGTACTTCAAAGCTATGATTAGTGATATTTATATGGAATCATCCTCAGGTAGCGTAGATTCTAGTTTGTTCAAATGATGAATGCCAGGGTGGGGGAGGGTACGTGGTGTTAAATTCAAGCCCAATGTGCTCAGGTGAGCGCTGTGGCCCCTGGGCCTCTTGTTTTTCATTGTTGTCATCTTCTAAATTTTGTATTTACTCCCACTCAGTATATATTCAATAATGTAGAATATGACACTTAATTTACCGGGTCAGTAAAAACGTGAAGCTGTCACTTTGTAAATTTTGTATTCATTGTCACTCAGTTAACTCTTAATTTTACAACTTACAAATCATGAAAATAATTTGAAAATAAACATGGGGATAACTTAAAGTTTTGTTACATGTGCTTGCATAATAAAATGAACATTGACAGCAGAAAATAATATTTAAGTTATGGTATATTTTTCTTTATGTCCAGGTTTTATTTTGAATAAGTTCGCAATTTATTTAGCACACACGCACACGATTTAAAAATTCTGCTAAGATTGAATGCTCAAAAATTTAAAGAAGAAAGTAGTTAGAATCTTTAGGAGACCTCTTTGTAAAACACATGGTGTAAACATGTAGTTATAATGATATCAAATGAATTGAAATAATACTGTCGTCGATTTTATTTTTTGGTTGTTTGTCTATGAGACTGATAGCAAGTATACTTTGCGCTTGATTTATATGTACCGGGAATTTATCATTGTCATAGCTGCTCATACATGTTTTCTTCAAGAAATCAAATACGGAAAATGAAAATAGACTTTAACTCCACTGAATAAAATCCATGTTTTATTTTACTGGTTCTAATTACGCTACAGTATTTATTCGCTGTAATCAAGTCCTACTGCCGATCGGTTAGTGTGCAGCCTGAGCAGCAATACTATTTGTCACGAATAATTCAGTTAATGTAGACGTCCCTCCTATTGATACCCGTTTACAGTAAAATAAAGTATGTTTAACTCAAAATGTTTCTTTTATCTTCTTTTCATTTTGAAAAATAACTAATACCATCAGATTAAAAAACCCAAGCCGTACTATGAACTCCATATCAAAATATAGCTTAATCGGAAACAGTTGTTTAGTGTATAATTGTGAACAATAAAACGGTTTTTTTTAATTTATCAAAAGATGTTTTATATTTAACACTGCAGCGTATTCGTGAATATGGATATTGTACACAAACGGAAGCGCTTTGAAGTACTACACTGGCGCTGACAAACGGAAGCTCTGTGAAGTACTACACACACGAAAGCTCTGTGAACTACACAATGCGGTAGCGAGAAAACAAGAACAATAGGTGTCACTTCTGTATATATACAGACGGGCACCTGCCTGATATCACTAGCAGTCAGTTACGAAATGTTGACCCGATAGCTAGACTCAGACCGTACCTTCAGAACAGCCTGACCCCTCTTTCTTTCATTCTTTCTCATTTTTTCATTAAAGAAATTAATTGAAAAGCACAGAAAGATTTAGATTTAATTAGAGATGCATTCATAAATATTTTCTAACTAGTCCAACTGGTTTCAAGATTATATTTATATTTTTAAAGACTACATGAAGTTTTATCTCTACTAATCCGATCAGTTTTAAACAAATAAATTATCTAAATATACTAGTACAGTTTCCCTAATTAATAAGAAGTTTTCTATAAGCGATAGACATTATTATCTCCCAGGATCCCCTTAAAAAAGGAATAATAAGAAATATATTAGAAAGAAAGAAAAACAGTACATCAGAAAAATCATTTTGATGAAAATTGCTAATATTTAATGCTTTACTTTGCTTTCCATAAAGCAAGAAACAAGTTTTCTTCATCTTAGACAGATTATATGTAAAATTTATTGTATATGATCTGATCTGCAATAATTTCTTTTGTTAATATGACAGCTGCAATCTTTCCGTTTTCTTTACAAAGTTTTCTAATTATCCTATCATTACAATAGTCATAATAACTCGATACGATCTCGTTGCGAGCAACGAGTGGGTCTTCCGTCCGATTCTTAATGAGATGAGATAAGATTTTCATTCTAAACTAATGATTTTCCATAATCTGTTAAAAGACATTAAACATTAAACACTTTAAAAATCGACTTTTGGCCCCTCACGGCCCTTTTTTTTCTTCCTATCATCTTAAAGCTCTCAGGATTTTGACAACTTTTTGTTCAACAACTATTCCGAGATTCATTTTCGTTGTCGAGTTATTTGCATAAGAAATATTTAGGGGCTAACCCTTCAACTCCTTAATGGGGACGGTTTAGCGAAAAATGAAAGGTTGCATTTTGTTCAGAACATTATTTTAAACATCTTTTGTTCAATATTACTAATCAAAATATTTCTCATTTTCGAGATATATTGCGTCAAAGATTTAGCATTCTGGCCCCTTGTGGCCCCTAATTATGTATCATACGAAATAAAAATTATAATATACAGTACCGACCAGACCCAACCTGACACAAAGCAGTCCCAGAGCAGTCCCGGGGACTGCTTTCTGGGACTGCTAAAGCAGTCCCACAGCAGTCCCAGAGCAGTCCCACAGCGGT